ATTATATACAGAAATCTTGAGATAGAACTCAGTATACCGAAATCTACCCTACCATGTAGTGCTAACAATGGTCAAGTCCAAACCTGGTTCTGAAACTGGTTAAGCATTAAACAAACTCTTGTTGTCTGTGAGAATTATCTTTCTGAGAAAGAAGGCGACCTCGCAGTTGATAATATTTATGATGATTTAGCACAAACAACAATAGATCTTTTTTCAAATTTATGACACTGACAGTAAAATCAATCAAAGCAAATATGTACAAAGAGTTCCAGAATACAGAATTTCGACAGATAACTTCCTAGTTCCTCCTGCTTAAGGCATTTTGTCTACTAACAGGGACAATAGAGATATGTACACTGGTTTGGTACCATATAGTTTGGTTTGGTTTGGTTTGTTTGCTGTTTAACACCGCACACAGCATTATTCCAGCTATATGACGGCAGTCTGTAAATAATCGAGGACCAGACCATCCAGTAATTAATATTATGAGCAGCTATCCACGCAATTGGGATCGATGACATGCATCAGCCAAGTCAGCAAGACTGACCACCTGATCCCCTTAGTCGCCTCTTACGACAAGCTTAGTTGCCTTTAGGGCAAGCATGGGTTGCGGAAGACCTATTCTACCCCGGATCTTTACTTTGGAACTAAGAACATGTCTGGTGACTGACCTCAGACCAGGTACAAAAATGTACCTGGTGTAGATTTATGTACAACTTTATATGACAAAGACCCCTTCAGCATAAGCATGTTGTGCGAGGGTCTGCTAGATGTGGGTTCGAATCCCAGTGGTGATCCTTGGTTTGTCGGCACCAAACTTTCACTTCAGTAATGTATTCAACATCTTACCGAGGCAAGGGAGTTAACTGACTTTAAAAGTCCAGTTTCCACCCTTGCCGAACTTGGCTGGAATTCCACCAGTGGCTATTACGAGTTATGTCCCTTCTATGCCTCTCTTATGGACCAATCAGATTCCACCTCTCCTATCATTTGCATTTGCTTCAAACAAAATGGTGGCCCCCAGTCAAGACGATCTGATCGATAATCAAGGTCTCTATTGTGATAAAACGGGTCTTACGTCGCGAAGTGCATCAAATCACGTGAGCACCTTGATTAAAAACATGAAAAGATTTGGAAAATATCTGTTGACAACGAGTTTGTGGTGCATATGCTTTGCAAATCCTGCAGTCGACCTAAAATCTGCATGACAGTTTACGAACCAGATTTCGATTTCGTTGGGTGATTTTGATTGGACTATGCATAGACTCGTTAGTCCAGGCAAAATCTAACTCCTTAATACAAACCTAGTTTGGCAAGGGTGGAAACTGGACTTTTATGGTCAGTTAACTCTCTCGGGAAGATAAGTATTCAATGACTCTGCTTCCTCTCATACTAATCTGACATGCCGTGCTTGAGTTGTAATACTATTCATTAACCTAGTTACTCCGTGCACATGATAACAGATTTGCTGTGTCAGTGTCAGTTATAGCACAGCGATATCGAGATGATATGAGTGATAGTCATCAGACGTTTGAACAATAACTTGTATCTCCAGTCAGACTCAGGAAGATTATTATCTGGAATGGGCTTGAATAAGCAGGGTAGCCAGTCTCAAATGATAAATCAATTTGTAGCCGATAATTTTGGGTTACCATGGTGACCCTTTTGTTTTAGTACCCTGAATCTTTGTGCTGTACATGGTAGTCATGCTCTTTATGAATACAGTCAGTCCACTCTGGTGTTGGAGTATGAGAGTTAAAGGGGCATTTGCTTTAGGAACTAGTACTCAGAGTTGGCGTGATCTGACAGGTCATGATATCACACACATTTCATTGGTTAAATGCAGAAAGGGTGACGACATGTAAACACCCACCCACATGGGCCATTTGACATCAAGGACGCAAGTTTTAATGGTAATTAGTATCCATCAAACACTTGCAAGACGCTCAAGCATGACTGGTTCAAATTTTTTATGATAAAACTACAGAAAATGTTTTTGACATCTAAGTAGATATGGATCTATTTGTGGTATCCAAGGTTTTCATTCAACTTGATACGTAGTTTGACAGTCTTGTGATCTTGTTTCGGTATGGTTTTCATAAAGCTTCTCTTGACACTCGGTTGTGTTTACATTGTCAGTCACTGTTCGAAACTGAAACACTGCCACCTTGCGGGCTATTTATAGTCAGGGTGGGGCTTTAGTTTAAACCTGCATGAGACAAAGATGAGTTAACATATTTGTTTACCATTGTCCTGATCTAATAAACTTGAAAACTGTCATGAACTATGCTTACTACATCCTCCTCCCATCCTAAATGGTGTTCAGTTTTGTGATGATCATCTAGTCCCTGTTACCATGGTTACAGAATGGCTAGGCTGTAAAATTGAGAAAAAGACATTCATACAATTCGGCCCAAGATGGTATTCCATCAATCTCTTTGTCCTCTGATGTGGTTAACTGGTCAAATACCAAACGTGGTAATTAATGTGCTTGTGTGACATTTTCTCCTTGTATGTGGGGATTCAGTTGCCATGGAAACAAACTTTCTTCCTGAATCATAACAGCAGAACCACCACTGAAAATATCAAACTAATTTAGACTGACTGAACAAGTCTATCATGTGTGTCAAGTGTTTATTATTTATGCATTAATCATACATTGTAGCAGAAATTATGTATTAACTTCTAGCACAGCTGTTTCACAAAGCTATATAGAACACTAGCATAAGTGTTACTGTTAACTTCAGCAAGTGAATGAATTTTGAAAAATATTTGAAGCAAATTGAAAATCCATTAATACTTAAGATCAGTACTGAAAGGCTTTTGTATCTTTTTACACATCGTTTATGCACCTATTAGACTAACACTTAGTCTATGAAAACATTTCTTAGAATAATTGTAATTTTTTTCACAGTCCATGACACAGGACTAGGCATTTTTATGTATCGTCGGATCAAAGGTTTCGGACATCATATCATGTTTATTGCGATAACTCGTGCTATAAAGAGGGGTGTAGCATCACACAGACATTGTAAATAGTTAGATGATGGCTTGTTTTTAAGAGAAAGTTGTTTTTTATAAGTAAATGAGATGTTTTTAGTTGTTCTTGTGATTAGAGAAAAAACTACGAATGTTTCTTAAGCGTCCAAATACCCATGACACGGGGGATACTATAAGAGTAACGCTATTTTTCAGGGCATTATCATTTGCAGAAGCCCGAGGTCTTCCATTAACTGCCTGACGAAGGAGGGCAGTTGAAAAGACCGAGGGCTTCTTCTAATGATAATGCCCTGAAAAATAGCGTTATCGTTATTATAACTAAAATGGATGGAATTTGTTATCAAATAAAAAGAAACAACAATATCGGTTTTGAAACATTTACTGCAATCAACACGAATGTCACTGACCCACTTTTACAAATATGGAAACGTCATAGAACAAACCAGATGACGTCACTATTGAACGTGATGTCACCTATCCCTATCCTATGACATCACCTTACAACGGGCGTGATATGGCCCGTCGTCAAGCAATATGAAGGCATTATCAAGTGGCCCGCTCATTTCTGATAACATGCGGGCGGTTTAATGATAATTCTATCAATTTTAGCTATAAAGTCAGTTAGCGCTTGACTGATCATTTGCTAATTTATGAATAAAACATGACAGAGAATTGTTTGAGCTTGTCCAATGGCAGGAAAGGTGCCAAATACCTCCATACTTGCCATACATGTTCTAAGAGCTGGCTAATTGGCGAAACAATGATTTACAAGGTGGTACAACTTTAAAATAACTTCGCCACTTATTAAACCCATTAATTGTAAGGTTATAGCATTTTGCCCTTCATATTACTCTAAAAATAAATGTTTTAGGTACTATTTTACTTGTGAATGGTGGATTTTGAGGAAGTAATTGAGGTATATGTCTTCATATAATAATCTGAAGCGGTAGTCAAACTTAATATCTGATGGGTCATTTTGATTTATTTTGGTATGCTTAACTCTGCCTACATGTATATATGATGTGCATTTATCGGCTCGGCTCGGCACGGTTTGGATCCACATAAAAAACACAAACCTCTTGTACACAGTTTATCATTATTTGTACATGTTGTAGCAGCCAACATATTGTAAATTTCCTCTCACATGGCAGTGGGCTTTTAAATTGAATTTTAAATTGAATGCAACCCATATTTGTTTGTTTTTTACGGTTGCTCTTTCAGTCGAGTTAATTTGCTTTATTGTAAATTGTATAATTTGTATTATCTGAATTTCATCCATGAATTTATTTTTGGTTTATGGAAGCATAGACTCAAAAATAATTTGCTTGGTCAGCAAATAAAAGGAGAAGGATGTTTTACATCTATCATCGTGAACTTTTCTACTTTTGTTTGTGGTGTTATCTGATCTCATCTAAATCTATTTTGTAATAGAGCAACAACATGTATATTACTTGAGTTATCAGATTTAACAAGAATATTTCAAATTTAAGTCTATCCTTGACATTGTGAGGATCCATCTGATGTTTCAGGGACATAGAAAATTAGAGTGGTAATACAGGCACAAGTAGACTAAAATCTAGTCTCTGAAATGAACATATCGTACATAAAAAAAACAGTTGTTCTGTTATCTAAATAAAAATATAATAAAAAGGAGCCCAGTGACTCTCTTCATTTTCAGAAGATACTGCAGTGATCTAGACTTGCCAAACATTATAGACTTGCATGGGCTGTATTTGATATATATTTGTATCAGGGTCTGTAAGACAGACTAAGGCACAAGCTGTGTACATGGTGTAGGACTTGACCGTGGAACCCTGGCTTTATCATGTTTATCAATGGTTATGTTTCAAGATATTGAGACCCACAAATATATTTTTTAAATTCACATATTCATTTGAGACCCACAGGATTGATAAATAGTACACTGAATGACTGGAAAGTAAGTATTTGAAACCATTTCTCTTTGTATGATATCTTCATTTTGAATTTATGTTTTTCAGCATTTGGAGGGGCATCGAAGTTGACATTTTCATCCTCATCCCTGTCTGTGGAAACACAGGGGACGTCTCAAATTGATCTCAAGCTCGAGTGAGTAATGCATTTACATCTGACTTCTCTTTATCATTTTGAAACAATTATGATTGATTAAGTATGCATTTTACCAGTCATAATCTGATATGACCATTGGGGTAAGAATATCGGAGCCAGTATTTCCAGTAATTCCCCCCAATTTATGAATCATCTTTTGTTCATGCTGATTGGATATTTTACGCCAGTTGGTCCATTGTTTTCATTGTTGCAAAGTGGCCCATAGCAATGTGACGTCATATCAACATCATTGTTGTAAATACTTACAGATGATCATTTCCAACACTAGTGCATGATCATGAAAAACACATTTTTATAAAATAAATTCAGAAAAAAGACCTTGGACTTGGACTGGGATGAGTCCAAATTTCTTTACTGTGTTTGCGACACCCTGACCGGGCACCCGCTATGGGTCTCAAGAGTTGGTTAAAAAATGTCCGAATGGGAATTGATTTACCACAGCCCTTGCAAAAACTATTTATATACTCGTACAAAACAATCTGATCATGCATACACTGAAGTTGATGGACACTTTATCCTTACTCGAACATATAAAAGTCAGAACAAATGCATGTCATTAAACAATATATCACATGACTGACCACAGGTCTGGGTTGTGTGGGTACCTACTCAGGAGACCCATGTAGATCCGGCATAGAATAGGTCTTCAGCAACCCATGCTTGCCGTAAGAGGCGACTAACAGGATCGGGTGGTCAGGCTCACTGACTTTGTTAATGCATGTCATCGTATCCTAATTGCATGATGTCAATCACTTTATTGTCTGGTCCAGACTCGATTATTTACAGACCGCCATCCTATAGCTGCAATATTGCTGAGTGCGGCGTTAAACAACAAGCAAACCAAACCAAAACCTACTCAGGACCCACCGAGTTACCAGTCCCAGCCCTACCATGGACGATGGAACCTTGTTAGTCTATGTACCCCTGGTACATGATGTATTGTTTGGTCATTACTACTTACTAGTGAGTTGTTAATCCCGAATTTAGATAATACAGATAATATCTATATGTGAAAGGTTTTACTATATACAGAATAACCTTCAGAAGGAGTGAGTTGGGTTTAACGCTGCTATGAACAGTATTCCAGTTATATCACAGCGTCCTAGCTTAATGTGGGAGGAAAGTGATGTTGACCTCAGACGTTTACCATTTTGGTGAAACCCACGAGAAACATAATCAGGGCAAAGCAGGATTTGAAAATACCAGTAGGTTCCTGGCATGCCCAAGGGACATAACTCTGCACAGCAAATTGGGGTTTCAGAAGACTGGTCCACCCATGCCCCAATAACCTTTAGAAGACTCAATCTGTATATTGTTTTGCATGTTTTGTGTGGTTAACATGTATTAAATATGTGATGGTATTGTTTCAGCAACCAGCTAAATGAGACTGCTGTGGTTTATTTCACCTATCAGATTGGTGATGGTGCCATAGAAGATACCGAGAACACACTGCTGATTCAGCTAGTACCAAAGGTGAACTTGACCACAGATGTCACAACGGTGACTGTCAATGTAACGGGTGTCAGTCCTGGTCACCTGAACCTGGGAGTCAACTCATCAGCAGAGGAACTGGAGGAGTAGGTTACATTTATTATTGACGAATATATTAGAATTTCATCCCTGTCTGTCTCACTACCAAACACCCTGCCTCACATAATGTTATTGTCCCGAGGGACCTATTGAGATAAGTACATTGCTATCTGTTACCTTCTTTATTTTATTTGAGGGGCGGTCAGGGAGCCTAGTGGTTAAAGTGTTCGTTCGTGACGTCGAAGACCAGGGTTCGATTCCCGACATGGGTACAATGTGTGAAGCCCATTTCTGGTGTCCCCCGCCATGATATTGCTTGAATATTGCTAAAAGGGACGTAAAAACATACTCACTCACTCACTTTATTTTATTTGAGCCCCCGTGGGGATTAGGGTTACAATCATCCCTGCAACCTATGCTAGTCGTAAGAGGCGGCTCAGTGGCTTGGTTCATTGCTTTTCATCATACCTCAACAGCGTGGATCGTTGCTCACACTATCAGTCACTGGTTTGTCTGGGCCAGTATTAATTATTTGGGGCGGCCATCCTATAGCTGGAATATTGCTGAGTGTGGCCCTTATGTGATGAAATGGCCATGTGTTTATGTGAATGACATTCGTCAACAATGTGCCTTGAAAAGTTTGTTAAATAAAAATTTGAAACCTTTTGACTCTCTTTTTTAACAAATGTAGATGAAAATCTAATAATTCATTAATTCCATATTGGTAATTGGACATACTAAACTCGCCATAATAAGTGCCCTGGGTGATTAAAACATTGACAAGGGTGTGGGTGGGATAGATGCTTATAAAACTCATACAAGTTAAATTTGATGGAGATCAAGCTGTAAAGAAAAACTTTGATGAAACTATCTGATTTTGATAAAAGTAACAAGGCAAATATATACCCCTTCTAAACTCCTGTTTTTTCTGTAAAAGTATTGATTGTCATGCAAATGTTTTAGCTTAGTACAGGCGCTTGTGAAGATTACTTATAGATAAGCATGATAAGTATAGAAGTTGTTTATGGGAGCGCTTATTGGATTTGGGTGCTAATATGGTGAATATGGAATATTTAGTTGTTTAATATATTCAATATCATATTTCAAACTAGGTTCCTCAGATATATAGAATATTTTCACTGATTTAGAACCTTCATCATTATCATGATGAACGATATTTTATCGAACTTTTACAAATTCTTTTGATGTTCTCTTTGCAGCCTCATTGATCAGTTTGTGCGAGTTGACATCATCCATAGTTCAGCGCTGTCTGTTATCAATGCTGTGATTGGCTGGATATATTTTGTAGCTTGGTCGGTGTCTTTTTACCCACAAGTCTACTCTAATTATAAGAGGAAGAGGTGAGTTGTCTCCATTGTACGAAGATATATGTGATCCTGTGTTTTAACATGACACTTGGAAGGGTTCATTCCATCACATAGGTGTTAATTTTGTAAACATTTGTGCACAGTAAGAACAAATGAGACAAAATCTATTTTTGATTTTGATCAAATATTTGATTTATTAAAACCTAATCAGATAAGCACTTTTGAAAACAGATAAATCTGATTGGTTGATTTGTGAACTCTAGAAATATAAAATATACTTTTCAAGGAATTTGTAGGCCTCAAGTCAGTTACCCATTGGTTTGTATATGATCATAATCAGTAACAATATCTTAAGCTTGATTATAGTATTGATTTTGCTTCCATAAATACAATCAAATTATGCATTGAAAATTCCCTAATTTCAATCAAATCAGATATAATACTCTGCATGAAGATCTGACAACCCTCCATAGGATGTCACTTTGGGTGAACCATGAGAAAACTTTTACCACCCTCTGTATAAAAGGGACATATTGGTTCTTGAGCCATTCAAACGTCGACTTCATTTTTTGACCTCCTGGATTCAGAAGTTTTGATTTTAACAAAAGAAACCCCACACAAAACACAGATCTTCTTTCCTAGGGTGCTCCTTTTTGGGTGTAGATGCTCGGCAGTGACATGGTGTATGATATCCACAAGAGAATGACAGTCTGGCCTTATTATTTCCATTTGGAACTTGTCATTTACATTCAGTTTCTATATATAGAAATCAAATCACTTTTCAAGCTCATACCAAGAATTGAGAAGCCAATATTGTATCATATTGTTCAAGATAGGATTTTTATGAGCATCAATATTCCCAGTTAAATCTTTTTTTGTCTTTTGTTGCAGTGTGGTTGGTCTAAACTTTGATTTCCTTTGCTACAACATCACTGGCTTCTTGGCATATGGCTTCTTCAATATAGGCATGTTCTGGATTCCTCTAGTAAAGGTGAGTCCACACCAACAACTTGTAGCACACCTGCCTTTTGTGTGAAGCTTATCTCTCTACACAAGGGGTGGGATGATGCATAAAGTCATGTACAATGCATGGGGTTATGTAGTTTGCCTTCTCTTACCTTACCTGTTTTACTTTTCACCATAGTTGTGAATTTGATATCATCCACGGACAATGCTGCCTCTGTGGTACAATCCATGGAACGTCTGCACGGAGAGCGGATTGTTGGTGGTTTGATTCCAGGGCCGCAACATACCAAAGATGTTAAAAGATGGTACTTGTTGTTACCCTGCCTGGGGCTCGGCATTATGGGATTGAAGCAGTGACTGGTCAGCTCGGAGTCAATATGCCATGTTTTGTGTGTGTGTGAGAGGGGTATCCATGTTAAACAGTGGAAGTGGTATCTCGTTGAGCTAGTACTATAAAACCAGCATTAGATAGGACTAGCACAAGCAGCCACACACATACATACATATACACACACATGCATGCACATAACCTTGAATGTGACGTAAAACCCAATTTCACCTCACCTCCACAGAAGAAGCCACATTGAGGTGAAAGTTCAACATGCTTGACAAATGATGTTTTAAATAATAAGGGATCTAAACAACCCCATACACAACATGGGAAGGAGGTCTTTGTATTATGTATTAGATTGTACCATTTATGTAGTATATAATCTCTTTAAAATCATATCTTAGTTCTCACTACCACTAAACAAAGATCTCAAGACATCCCATTACAGGTCATGTCAAAACGACCTTTCGAGAACTTATCTAATCAAAGAGCAGCTTCCTCGAGCTTTATGGCACTTATTCAGACCGGCGATTTGGATTCCAGACTAGGCTTTAAAAAAGATTTTGACGAAGTTCTCAATTCAAAATTTGAACAAAAAAACGTTCTTGAATGTCAAATAGATCACTGATTTGTATGGCGGTACTTCCCATGGGCAATGCAAATTCTCTTCTGTTCAAAATGTTTATCCAACTGAAGCGAGAGGTAGACAACCATGCAGCTTGTATAAACTGTCGTTTGGAATACCTAGTGTTAGTGTTTTCGAGGTTGCATGATGAAAGATCGTTCTGACGTGACCCGTAATGGATGTCCTCAGATCTTTGTTCAGCGGTAGCGAGAACTTAGATCGGATTTTAATGAGATTGATACAGGATACCCACATTACTGCTACACCTCTCTTGGTATGACATTGAAAGAAGTTTTGATAGGCATTTGAAGAATCTTTGTTGTGTTATTTTCAGGCCCAGTATTTTCAAGAACATGCTCGTGGGATCAACCCTGTCCAGCTGAATGATGTCATCTTTACATTGCATGCTGTATTTGTCACGCTGGTCACAATAGGACAGTGCTTCATATACGAGGTAAGGAGTGGGATGGGGCAGTCGGGCTGGGACAAGTCCATACTTACTACCTGAATACCCGACTCCCTATTGATTACCCGACCCTACCTGACCCTGTATTACCCAACCCTACCTGGATACCTGACCCCCTATTACCCTACCCTACCTGGGTACCTGACTCCCTATTACCCTACCCTACCTGGATACCCAACACCCTATAACCCTACCCTAGCTTGGTACCTGACGCTCTATTACCCTACCCTAGCTTGGTACCTGACGCTCTATTACCCTACCCTAGCTTGGTACCTGACGCTCTATTACCCTACCCTACCTTGGTACCCGACCCTCTATTACCCTACCCTACCTGGGTACCTGACCCTCTATTACCCTACCCTACCTGGGTACCTGACCCCCTATTACCCTACCCTACCTGGGTACCTGACCCTCTATTACCCTACCCTACCTGGATACCTGACCCCCTATTACCCTACCCTACCTGGCCACCTGACCCCCTATTACCCTACCCTAGCTTGGTACCTGACCCTCTATTACCCTACCCTACCTGGGTACCTGACCCTCTATTACCCTACCCTACCTGGATACCCGACCCCCTATTACCCTACCCTACCTGGGTACCTGACCCCCTATTACCCTACCCTAGCTTGGTACCTGACCCTCTATTACCCTACCCTATGTGGGTACCTGACCCTCTATTACCCAACCCTACTTGGGTACCTGACGCTCTATTACCCTACCCTACCTGGGTACCCGACCCCCTATTACCCTACCCTACCTGGGTACCTGACCCCCTATTACCCTACCCTACCTGGGTACCTGACCCCCTATTACCCTACCCTACCTGGGTACCTGACCCCCTATTACCCTACCCTACCTGGGTACCTGACCCCCTATTACCCTACCCTACCTGGGTACCTGACCCCCTATTACCCTACCCTACCTGGATACCTGACCCCCTATTACCCTACCCTACCTGGGTACCTGACCCCCTATTACCCTACCCTACCTGGATACCTGACCCCCTATTACCCTACCCTACCTGGATACCTGACCCCCTATTACCCTACCCTACCTGTATACCCAACACCCTATTACCTTACCCTAGCTTGGTACCTGACGCTCTATTACCCTACCCTACGTGGGTACCTGACCCTCTGTTACCCAACCCTACTTGGGTACCTGACCATCTTGATAATGTTATAAAGCGGATGGGCATGTATTGTTTAGGGTCTCGAAAAGAGGTGAGGCTCGAAAACATGTGATGTGGTTCTTTATGATCAACTACATTAAGTACATTTACAGATTCTCTTGTCGTACCTCATTCAAATGGAAATTTTTATACTCAAGTTAACAATGAATAATCCTATGCAATTTTTTATCACTGGTAATTACTGGAGAATGGAAATACTGATGTATGCCCATTTTTCAGAGAGGAGGTCAGAAAGTCTCTAAAATATGCACTGTGCTGTTGGCTGGCACCTGGCTGTTCGCGTTTATAGCTCTGTTCGTGGCAGTGGGCAAAAAGATCACCTGGCTGGAATACCTGTACTATTTCTCCTACATCAAGCTGGGAGTGACTCTCATTAAATATATACCACAGGTAAGACACAGCAGCTGAAACAGCCTTCATTTATACATAGGTTGAAAGCAGTGATTGCGGTATGATCAGATGTTTACAGTGTATGCCCTGGCTGATTGTGAGGCATTGCATTTCCACAGCATTGAAGCATTGTATTTCCACAGCATTGAAGCATTGTATTTCCACAGCATTGAGGCATTGTAGTTCCACAGCATTGAAGCATTGTATTTCCACAGCATTGAAGCATTGTAGTTCCACAGCATTGAAGCATTGTATTTCAACAGCATTGAAACATTGTATTTCTACAGCATTGAGGCATTGCATTTCCACAGCATTGAAGCATTGTATTTCAACAGCATTGAAACATTGTATTTCAACAGCATTGAAGCATTGTATTTCAACAGCATTGAAGCATTGTATTTCAACAGCATTGAAGCATTGTATTTCGATTGTTGCTCATGCTGATGTGATGGTTATTTAAAGTCCACTTCATATATTTTTGGACTGCCTTCATGGTCTAGTGGAAGAGTGTGTGCCCGGAGAGTGGAAGGTCCGGGGTTCGATCCCAGGCCGCTTCATACCAAAAGACATTAAAAGATGGTACTTGTTGTTACCCTGTCTTGTGCTCGGCATTAAGGGGCTGAAACAAGGACTGGTCAGCTCGGAGTCAGTATACTGTGTCTGAGTGGGGTATTCATGTTAAACTGTGGCATGGTATCTCAGTGAGCTAGCACTATAAATCAGCATCTGTCTGGACTAGTACAAGCAGCCACAAACATGGCATGCAAGAAGCTATGTAAATGCAATAATCTTGGACGCGACGTTAATCCCAATTCCACCTCACCTCATATATTTTTGTTTTTTTTAAGTTCAAATTCTGCAAAAGTGTAAATGTAGTAAACAAACATTATGTAGTATTTGTATTGAGAACAAGGGGAAACATTCATTTGGATGATAGATTGATGATAACATTTTTGAAAACCTGCAATGTCAACTTTTTGTTGGGTAGGCCTGGATGAACTACAGAAGGAAGTCGACACTCGGCTGGAGCATTGGAAACGTCCTCCTGGATTTTACTGGTGGTTCTCTCAGCCTGCTGCAGATGTTCCTCATCGCCTATAACAATGGTATGTTCCAGAGACAGTGGGTAGGCTGAGACAATGGTAAGTTTCAGACACAGTGGGTAGGCTGAGACAATGGTAAGTTTCAGACACAGTCGGTAGGCTGAGACAATGGTAAGTTCCAGACACAGTGGGTAGGCTGAGACAATGGTAAGTTCCAGACACAGTGGGTAGGCTGAGACAATGGTAAGTTCCAGACACCATGGGTAGGCTGAGACAATGGTAAGTTCCAGACACAGTGGGTAGGCTGAGACAATGGTAAGTTCCAGACACAGTGGGTAGGCTGAGACAATGGTAGGTACCAGACACAGTGGGTAGGCTGAGACAATGGTAGGTACCAGACACCGTGGGTAGGCTGAGACAATGGTAGGTACCAGACACAGTGGGTAGGCTGAGACAATGGTAAGTTCCAGACACAGTGGGTAGGCTGAGACAATGGTAGGTACCAGACACCGTGGGTAGGCTGAGACAATGGTTAGTACCAGGCACAGTGGGAAGGCTGAGACAATGGTAAGTTCCAGACAGTGGGTAGGCTGAGACAATGGTCAGTTCCAGACAGTGGGTAGGCTGAGACAATGGTAAGTTCCAGACAGTGGGTAGGCTGAGACAATGGTAAGTTCCAGACACAGTGGGTAGGCTGAGACAATGGTAGGTACCAGACACAGTGGGTAGGCTGAGACAATGGTAGGTACCAGACACAGTGGATAGGCTGAGACAATGGTAAGTACCAGACACAGTGGGTAGGCTGAGACAATGGTAGGTACCAGACACCATGGGTAGGCTGAGACAATGGTAAGTTCCAGACACAGTGGGTAGGCTGAGACAATGGTAGGTACCAGACACCGTGGGTGTGGCATGACAATGATAGGTACCAGACACAGTGGGGAGGATGAGACAATGGTAGGTACCAGACACAGTGGGTAGGCTGAGACAATGGTAGGTTCCAGACACAGTGGGTAGGCTGAGACAATGATAGGTACCAGACACAGTGGGTAGGCTGAGACAATGGTAGGTACCAGACACAGTGGGTAGGCTGAGACAATGGTAGGTACCAGACACAGTGGGTAGGCTGACACAATGATAGGTACCAGACACAGTGGGTGTGGCAAGACAATGATAGGTACCAGACACAGTGGGTGGGGGGCATTACAATGATAGGTACCAGACACAATGGGTGTGGCATGGCAATGATAGGTACCAGACACAGTTGGTAGGCTGAGACAATGGTAGGTACCAGTCACAGTGGGTGTGGCATGACAATGGTAGGTACCAGACACAGTGGGTGTGGCATGGCAATGATAGGTACCAGACACAGTTGGTAGGCTGAGACAATGGTAGGTACCAGACACAGTTGGTAGGCTGAGACAATGGTAGGTACCAGACACTGTGGGTGTGGCATGACAATGGTAGGTACCAGACACAGTGGGTAGACTGAGACAATGGTAGGTACCAGACACAGTGGGTGTGGCAAGACAATGGTAGGTACCAGACACCGTGGGTGTGGCAAGACAATGATAGGTACCAGACACAGTGGGTAGGCTGAGACAATGGTAGGTACCAGACACAGTGGGTAGGCTGAGACAATGGTAGGTACCAGACGGAGTGGGTAGGCTGAGACAATGATAGGTACCAGACACAGTGTGTGTGGCATGACAATGATAGGTACCAGACACAGTGGGTGTGGCATGACAATGATAGGTACCAGACACAGTGGGTAGGCTGAGACAATGGTAGGTACCAGACAGAGTGGGTAGGCTGAGACAATGGTAGGTACCAGACACAGTGTGTTTGGCATGACAATGATAGGTACCAGACACAGTGGGTGTGGCAAGACAATGATAGGTACCAGACACAGTGGGTAGGCTGAGACAATGGTAGGTGCCAGACACAGTGGGTGTGGCAAGACAATGATAGGTACCAGACACAGTGGGTAGGCTGAGACAATGGTAGGTACCAGACACAGTGGGTGTGGCAAGACAATGATAGGTACCAGACACAGTGGGTAGGCTGAGACAATGGTAGGTACCAGACACAGTGGGTGTGGCAAGACAATGGCAGGTACCAGACACAGTGGGTGTGGCATGACAATGATAGGTACCAGACACAGTGGGTGTGGCAAGACAATGATAGGTACCAGACACAGTGGGTAGGACTAGACAATGATAGGTACCAGACACAGTGGGTAGGCTGAGACAATGGTAGGTACCAGACACAGTGGGTGGGGGGCATGACAATGATAGGTACCAGACACAGTGGGTGTGGCATGACAATGATAGGTACCAGACACAGTGGGTGTGGCAAGACAATGATAGGTACCAGACACAGTGGGTAGGACTAGACAATGGTAGGTACCAGACACAGTGGGTAGGACTAGACAATGGTAGGTACCAGACACAGTGGGTGGGGGGCATGACAATGATAGGTACCAGACACAGTGGGTGTGGCAAGACAATGGTAGGTACCAGACACAGTTGGTGTGGCAAGACAATGATAGGTACCAGACACAGTGGGCGGGGGGCATGACAATGATAGGTACCAGACACAGTGGGTGTGGCAAGACAATGATAGGTACCAGACACAGTGGGTAGGACTAGACAATGGTAGGTACCAGACACTGTGGGTAGGACTAGACAATGGTAGGTACCAGACACAGTGGGTGGGGGGGGGGGGGTGACAATGATAGGTACCAGACACAGTGGGTGTGGCAAGACAATGATAGGTACCAGACACCGTGGGTGTGGCAAGACAATGGTAGGTACCAGACACAGTGGGTGTGGCAAGACAATGGTAGGTACCAGACACAGTGGGTGTGGCAAGACAATGGTAGGTACCAGACACAGTGGGTGTGGCAAGACAATGGTAGGTACCAGGCACAGTGAGTGGGGGCAAGACAATGGTAGGTACCAGGCACAGTGGGTGGGGGCATGACAATGGAAGGTACCAGACACAGTGGGTGTGGCAAGACAATGGTATGGACCAGACACAGTGGGTGTGGCAAGACAATGGTAGGTACCAGACATAGTGGGTGGGGGTAAGACATTGGTAGGTACCAGACACAGTGGGTGTGGCAAGACAACGGTAGGTACCAGACACAGTGGGTAGGACTAGACAATTAGAAGTACTGACACAGTGGATGTGGCAAGACAATGATAGGTACCAGACACAGTGGGTGTGGCATGACAATGGTAGGTACCAGGCACAGTGGGTGTGGCATGACAATGGTAGGTACCAGGCACAGTGGGTGGGGGCATGACAATGGAAGGTACCAGACACAGTGGGTGTGGCATGACAATGGTAGGTACCAGGCACAGTGAGTGGGGGCAAGACAATGGTAGGTACCAGACACAGTGGGTGTGGCATGACAATGGTAGGTACCAGACACTGTGGGTAGGACTAGACAATGGTAGGTACCAGAGACAGTGGGTAGGACTAGACAATGAGAAGTACTGACACAGTGGGTGTGGCAAGACAATGATAGGTACCAGACACTGTGGGTGTGGCAAGACATTGGTAGGTACCAGACACAGTGGGTAGGCTGAGACAATGGTAGGTACCAGACACAGTGGGTGTGGCAAGACAATGGTAGGTACCAGACACCGTGGGTGTGGCAAGACAATGGTAGGTACCAGGCACAGTGGGTGTGGCAAGACAATGGTAGGTACCAGACACAGTGGGTAGGACTAGACAATGGTAGGTACCAGACACAGTGGGTATGGCAAGACAATGGTAGGTACCAGACACAGTGAGTGGGGGCAAGACAATGGTAGGTACCAGACACAGTGAGTGGGGGCAAGACAATGGTAGGTACCAGGCACAGTGAGTGGGGGCAAGACAATGGTAGGTACCAGACACAATGAGTGGGGGCATGACAATGGTATGGACCAGACACCAGGATTGTTTTTCTTTCATTTTAGATATTGTACATATTTGGATGGATGGGCTTGATCCATACGTAATAACACACAGAACTGCCCATTATGATGTGGACCTAACAACTTTAAACTTGCTTCTTTCAGATGATTGGGGCTCTATATTTGGTGACCCTACCAAGTTTGGCCTGGGATTCTTCTCAATCCTGTTCGATATCCTCTTCATGATCCAGCACTACTGTCTGTACCGAGGACAGAACCCATACGAGATTGTTAATGAAAAAGAGAGCATTGTCAATGTCCCTAGCCATAGTTAACAAGCTAATAGAATAAATGGTCTAATCAGCTGTGGGCAGTCTGTAGTGCATGCGGCAGTCATTGCCAGTTTATGAGGCAGTCATTGCCAGTTCATGAGGCAGTCATTGTCAGTGCATGGGGCAGTCATTGCCAGTTCATGAGGCAGTCATTGTCAGTGCATGGGGCAGTCATTGCCAGTGCATGAAGCAGTCATTGCCAGTGCATGCGGCAGTCATTGCCAGTTCATGGGGCAGTCATTGCCAGTTTATGAGGCAGTCATTGCCAGTTTATGAGGCAGTCATTGCCAGTTCATGAGGCAGTCATTGTCAGTGCATGGGGCAGTCATTGCCAGTGCATGAAGCAGTCATTGCCAGTGCATGCGGCAGTCATTGCCAGTTCATGGGGCAGTCATTGCCAGTGCATAATGCAGTTATTGCCAGTGCATAAGGCAGATATTACCAGTTTATGAGGCAGTCATTGCCAGTGCATGAAGCAGGCATTGCCATTGCATGAAGCAGTCATTGCCAGTTCATGAGGCAGTCATTGCCAGTGCATGAAGCAGTCATTGCCAGTGTATAAGGCAGTCATTGCCAGTGCATATGGCATACATACAATTACTTATTTTATTAAATATATATATAAATATATATATATATAGAGAGAGAGAGAGAATGAGGGTTGTTTGATAGTAAGAGGATAAACAATTTGATTATTTGATTTTGATTATTTTAAATTTGAATTTATCAGAACAGCTGTTATTAGGGGATGATTGTTTGCATAAATGAGGGATTTATTAAACTGATTGTGTACATAGAAAAATATTAGGATGTTAGGTACAAGTCATTTGTCATGTTTATGATAGGGAGGAGATTACCATGAACTGTCCTCCTTCAGCACTATTCAAGGTTCAACAAGGATAATGTCCAGTAGCAAACAGGACCAATACTGCAGATGATTCGTTTGACAGCTACAAACTAGTGTTTCAAACATGTGCACCTACTTTTCACTAATTTACATTAATAAAATAATTATTAGTTTGTCATCCCTGCACACCTCATTAACTCCCCAAGTTCTTCAGACCAAACATATTGCTACGTATATTCAGTTATTTCTTTTTGTGATGAAATATACTATATTGTGAATCTTATCCATTAATGGGTAGTGTACACAGATGCTTTGAACATTTAAAAAAATATACAGTAAACTACGGTTATAACGAACCACTAATTTTAGTTTGTAATAACAATAGTTCGTTATAAGCAATATTTTCAGCATATATACAACAAATGGCCGGGACTAAGAAATAAGTTTGTTATAGCTGTCAGTTTGTTATAAGCATGTTCGTTATAAACGTAGTTTACTGTATGTATATAGAGGTTATCATGTGAGTGTGTTTGGGGATGGTAAATATCCTGCATTAGGAATAAACATTGTATTTAGCGAGCCATGGCGAGCTAAATACATAGTGTTTATTCTTAATACAGGATATTTACCATCCCTGAACACACAAGCGTGATAACCTCTTTATCATATAATGTCATTCTTCAATTCTGTGGTTGAAAATCGCTTCCCCCCTTACAAACATTACCTAAACATTGCGAGTTTTCCTGGAATGCGCGCATTAATATTTATTACGTCACAGGGTAGGTGATGTGTCAGTCGGACACTGACAGTAGCCAATATAGTTCAAACTGAAAATCTGTTTCTTATACAGTGGCGAAGCAACATATACGCAAAACAACAATTGTTTTTACTTGCCTTTCGCAACAATCCATCGGTCTGTCGGCTAGAGTAACTGCCCTTTGTCAAAGGGAAGCTACTCTAACCCTAGTCTATGAGACATCACGGCCACATTCAGACGTTGTTGACAGTCGGCCTGTTCTGTCATAACGTTAAGAAGTTCAGTCAGATGTACACACAGCGCCAAAACGAAACAAGGTAACAATTGATACATATTTCGCCTAAACCCAACTATTTTTATTTGTGGAAAAGGTTTCAAGCCGCAGAGGTCTACAAGCACAGATATGGCTACTGTTCCGCTTGGCTAGGCCTAGTGCCCTCGCAAAATTGTTTCGAAATTTATATCTCCAAAGTTGCCCAAACTTATAAAAAGCCTTAGTTACGTCGCAGTTCGACACTGACTTTCAGTATATAAGACTGTTTTTTTTATAATTGTATCAATTATCCCTGTAGGTTATCCAGATTCACAATGGTTAATTCTGACTCGATCGACGAATGACAAGTGTGATGCCATGTTTGTTTATAAACACTGAAAGTAGTCCCTACTTGACCTTTGATATTTGCATCTCTATGACCCCAACGGATACAGTTTTTATCCGTTGGCTTTATCCTGACGAGAAACCTACCCATTATATGATAAATATAAAATACACTGTCTCCCACCCCACAATTTTCAAATTTGTATGAAAATCTACTTTCATTGAATTTATTGAACCCTGGAGGTAAACAAATTAAATACATGGTTGAGTCATATTTTCGGTCAGTAAGGATTAGACTGCCTTCAGGTTAAAGTTACTGACCGAGGTTAATGTTTACTGTTATTTGTCTAGTATCGTGTACCATTATTTATTTACTATGTGCCAAACCAAATGATGTATTTGTGTACTGTCTGTCATGTTTTGGGGTAGTTCTCCCTCACTATGTATTACCAACATATCCACCCCACTGTGATGGATCAGTTTTCAATGCAATTTTTCAATTGTTTTATTCAATACATGTAGTATAGGCCACAGGCCTTTGTGTACATTATATGATAATACAGACAGGCTGTTAGACATTGAATAATAAGTTTCAACATGAGCATTATAAATGTATTTAGCTAAATTAACTACAGTGTTGGGATCTTGTGATGATAAAAGGAGGTTGAATTTGTGACAGTTGGGATGGAGATGCATGGGCGGATAGAGGGGGGAGGGGGGGAGGGGAGATGCGAAAAGAATCTTTATTTCTGTATAAATTACCACCAAAGACAATATATAGATCTTAATTGTGCACCCCCCCCTTTTCAAAAAAGCTGTATCCGCCCATGAGATGGAACTTGGTTTGAATATAAGTTTGTCTTCAAACAGGGAAAATAAATATAAAGTGCTATTCTGTTTCAACACAGTTTAAAATGCATAACTTACATTTACGTAGATTTCGTGGAATATTTGCATGCTGCGCACATTACATCTTAATCAAAATCTGGAAAGAGCAGTTTTTGGTTTAACTGATGGCATGAGTTTCAGATAGGTTTCTTAATTTATAAAAGTTTTGAATTTTTGAGGAGGAAAGTAGTTTACTATGCCAAGTTAGCTGAAAGTTGTGTCTGGATGGATGGATAATAGAACAGTTGTCACTCAGGGAGTAGAACGATCAATTTGCTTCTCATTTAAAAATCTGTCAAGTTGACAACCACGAATACATTTCTGTCCCTATACAAATATTTCATGGTTTGATATGCAAAAGAACATCTCAACAGACTGATAATTGCCTGATATGTATGCATTATCTGTGTTAATGCAAGGATGGAGAGATAATACTCAGTTGTACTAGTGGTGAAAGCTAATGCTGGACGTTCAAGGCAAGTTGACTGTATGTGGGTTTCAATTACAGTCAAACTATTAGTAGTAAGTCTATATAAACTAAAACAGTTTGAAATTGCATTGTTGATTTGACTCATTATTATGCTCAATGTTTTCATTAAAATACAAGTCATGTCTACAATGCGGTAACATTAGTTACTACTATATAACATATATTGGGAAATTTTTAATTCCAATTTGGGAATTTTGACAGACATTTGCTGCAGATTTGGGGACAAATATTGGCATCCGAGCAGGTCTGGAAATATCCCTGTCTATGGGTTTTCAAATTGAGTGTCAGTATTGGTTACTGTCTTGCTAAGTTTTAAGTTTCAAAATTCACCGTGCGGAGTTGTGCCCCGGGGTCTGGGATCTGCTGACTGGTTTTAATCCCAGATTTCTTAAACCAGGATGTTGCAGATGTTAGTGTACTTGCCACAAACCCATCAAACGATGTTGGATTTTCTTTTGTCCGTCTCCATTAACTGACCATCCCAGACATACTGTACTAATACTTTTTGTATTCTACTCCAACAGTTGGTGCACTTGTATGGCTGCACCTGAAGTACATGCATGCATTTTATCAGAAATAAATTTAGAATTTAAAATAAATCACTATTAAAATCAAATTGTTTGAAAGTGTTTTACTTACTCTGTCCAATTATATTTTATTTGCCAAATGTTTCCTCATATTTCAGATTTGTATTTTAATGAAAGTTTAATGTAATGTGCCTTTATATGTATATATTATAACTGTTGCAATGTGTTTATAAACAGGGCTAGTATTGATTATCAGGTGAATATTTATTGATTTGATTATAAAGTTGTATTTGATGATGCACCTTTTAATGTTTTAATAATTCAAACTATTACTTTCTTTAAGATCATCATGTTTATCGTAATGTAATATTTATTTTTTAACAAATCATGGGATGCTTGTATATATATGAGAGTGACCATTTATATATATATTGGTACCCTGTTCCTTGCTGCTTAGGGCAGTCGGGTAGCCTAGTGGTTAATGCATTCACTTGTTACATCGATGCCCGGGTTCGATTCCCCACAAGGATACAATGTATAAAGCCCATTATTTGTGTCCCTCGCCATGATAGTGCTTGAATATTGATAAAGGCCGCATAAAACCCAACTCATTCACTCCCTCAATCACCCAACCCCACCCCACTCTACCTCACTCAACCTGCCACCCAACACCCAACCCCACCCAACTGTACGTCACTCAACCCCACCCCCAACTTGCCACCCAACCCCCAAGCCCACATCACCCAATCCCACCCAATACAACCAACACCAAATCCCACCCAATACCCAATACTCAATACCCAACACCCACTATCACCCTATCTGAACCCCAGGTGCTCAGGTTTGTAAGATGATACATGGATGTATATATGTAATAGCAGCTGCCTTTCTTATGAATATTGTAAGCATGTAAGTTATGAGGGAATTCTATAAAAAAAAAATCTTTTATATTAATTATCTCTGATCAATTGAACTAGATCATGAATTGTAGATTGATGAAGATTTACAGATGTGCCATAACAATACCTGGACTTTTGTCAGTGCATTACTTACAATTCATGGGGTTTGTTTATTTATTCATTACCATCGAGAAGTTTTCCTTTTAGTGATCATATTGTGCATGGAGGGAACATACTTCATTTTCCTCATTGGAAAAGGGGTTAGCTGAGCAGTGATGTATTTGACACAGTGGGATGAAGATAAATATCTATCTGTAAGAAATTATTTATGTTTTAAACATGAAATAAATGTTTTCACAACATGTTATGTTTTTTTATCTGTTTAATTGCAGATGTCACATGACATCTATATACAGTACAGCTGATGGTGTCACATGACATATATACAGTACAGCTGATGGTGTCACATGACATCTATATACAGTACAGCTGATGGTGTCACATGACATCTATATACAGTACAGCTGATGGTGTCACATGACATCTATATACAGTACAGCTGATGGTGTCACATGACATCTATATACAGTACAGCTGATGGTGTCACATGACATCTATATACAGTACAGCTGATGGTGTCACATGACATCTATATACAGTACAGCTGATGTGTGTCACATGACATATATACAGTACAGCTGATGTGTGTCACATGACATCTATATACAGTACAGCTGATGGTGTCACATGACATCTATATACAATACAGCTGATGGTGTCACATGACATCTATATACAGTACAGCTGATGGTGTCACATGACATCTATATACAATACAGCTGGTGTGTGTCACATGACATCTATATACAGTACAGCTGATGGTGTCACATGACATCTATATACAGTACAGCTGGTGTGTGTCACATGACATATATATACAGTACAACTGATGTGTGTCACATGACATCTTTATACAATACAGCTGGTGTGTGTCACATGACATCTATATACAGTACAGCTGATGCATGTCACATGACATATATATACAGCACAGCTGGTGTGTGTCACATGACATATATATACAGTACAGCTGATGTGTGTCACATGACATCTATATACAGTACATTTGGGGTTACTCGCTTGAGAGTATTCACCCTCGATTATCCAGTGAATCCTATCCTCATCCAATGGATAGAATGGTTAATTAGTGCACTGGATAATCAAGGATGTCAGCGATATGGGTGAGTGAATATTGTTTAACACTGTTGAGTGTGTATGACCACTACGCTCCATTACAGTGGTAGGTGACGCTAGTGAAGTAACAGTGATGCCGAGATGAGGATCCTCCGGGCCTGCAGGCCTTGAAGGATCTACTTTTGATAAGCTTCGTGCATCGATTTAATGTCAAACTTTCGTTTTACCAGGTTACATATATCTAAGTGTGCTTGCACTATAAATCAGCATCAGACTGGACTAGTACAAGCAGTCACACTCACACGTGCATGCACGTCGCTATATAAGTGCAATAACCTGGACGCGACGTTAAACCATATTTCGCCTCACCTGACCTTCTCAATGTGTTAAAATATGTGTTTCTCCATGCATGTCATGGCTTCATATTTGCATTATGTGATTAATGGGGTGGTTCCCAGTTTCTTGAGTGACTTCCGTGTGTGAAATTATGGCTTTAACACTGGCCGAAGGCTTCAGCAAAGACCTGCCTCACTACGGGATGGATTTCCTCCTGGATAACACTGCCACATCGTGATATAACTGAAATGCTGTTAAGATCGGCGTTGAACAAACCATATCTTTTGATGCACTTTGCACCTATGAAAAATGTCAGTATTGCAGAACCAATGTATGTGAAGATATCTGGGCTGGTATATGTTCGTATATATGTCTGTATACTAGTACCTCTTCCTTGGCAGGACGTCGACCTCGAACCCAGTGCGCTCTCGTTATGAACTGTGTGTTAGGAAAGGTAACCGGGGTGATATAACAGGTCGTCCGAAATTCGCTATACTTTTACAATCAAGGAGATCCGTGAAGATCCGGGGTAGAATAGGTATTCAGCAATCCATTCTTGTCGTAAAAGGCGACTATGCTTGTAAGAGGTGACTAGCAAGAGGTGGTCAGGCTCGCTGACTTGGTTGATGCATGTCATCGTATCCCAACTGCGTGGATCGATGCTCATAATGTCAATCACTGGATTGTCTGGTCCAGACCAGATTATTTACAGACCGCCGTCGTAGAACTGGAATATTGCTGAGTGCGGCGTTAAACAACAAACAAACAACCCAGGAAAGCAAAATGCTCTGCGTTCGTGACCTTTTAAAGTCAACTGCTTAAAAATGTAGCTCGTGAAAACGCAATCTCATTAAGATCAGATCTTAGTTATCGCTTTCTCTAAACAAAACTTTATTTAGCGGCAGCGAGAACTTAGATTTGATTTTAATGAGATTGGTGAAAACGTAACTTTGAATTTGTAGATGTAAAGGAAACTTCGTTTTTAATTTGTTTGTTTTTCTTTTTTTTCTTTCTTGTATTTCTTTTGTTTTGTTTTGTTGTTTGTTTGTTTTTCTTTTTTTGGGGGGAGGGGGTCGCGTTAATTTGTAAATCGTGGAGTACACAAGGTAATAATATACATCGAAATCTATCCCCTTTACGGATTCAGGTTACAGTACGCTGACAACAATATTCAACAGCAATGTTTATCCCGAAGGGGATACGGGTAGGAATAGCGAAGTTACCGAATTTGATTTTCCTTCAACACCTGTTTGTCTCAACCTGTTTGACTTCTGCGGTACAGTTTCCGTGTCCGTTGATGTTCCGAGTGCGTGCAGTCATGTGCTAAAGTTATGATTGACAGATATCACACAATAACGGCGTTTTGTTGAATGAGTCTCGTCGATGTTTCAGGATAAGCATGTCAACTTACACTGTGTATTTACAATTGTTATGTATTGGGCTCATTACAGACGTTTACGGTAAGTAGTATTGAGCTTACTGTCATTTACTTATGTAAATGGAAGGTTGTATATTTCGTTTGACCTATATACTATACATATTGTTATCATATCACGTTTTCCTTTATACCATGTTTCACAGCCTAGATCCAAGTAAGAGGGTCAATGTGATGGTTATTTTGAAAGGTATACATTTAATATCTATTTCGATTTATGCTTTATAACGTTGCATGTTAACACTTTATAATTGTGTTATTGGGAAAGAATTCGGTACAAATGTAAACAAAAGATGTAACACAGACACAGTCACACACACACACACACACACACACACACACACACACACAGTCACACACACAGACACACACACACACACTCACACACAGTCACACACACTCACACAGACACAGTCACTCACACACAGTCACACACACACAGACACACACACACACAGACCAAACACACACACACTCACAGACACAGTCACACACACACAGGCACACACACACACACAGACACACACACACACAGAGACACACACACACGCACGCACACACACACACACGCACGCACGCACAGACACACACACACACACACTCACAGACACACACACACACACACACGCACGCCCGCACTTACATCCATCCATCCACACACAGACACACACACAGAGACACACACACGCACGCACGCACGCACGCACGCACGCACGCACGCACTTACATCCATCCACACACACGCACGCGCGCACACACACAGACACACACACGCACGCACTTACATCAACACACACACGCGCGCGCACACACACACACACACACACTCACACTCACACACACACACTCACACTCACACACATAGAAATGAGAATTTCTGAACAAGGTAAATTAAATGCTACTTGGGTTGAACAACATACCCTCCCAGTCTATGAAAAATGGGACTATGAAGAAGTAAATATATAAGTTGCCATGTTTATGTAAATTCAACTGCAGATAGGTTTACCCCCTTAATGTCATATGCTCTCAATAGCTGACTACGAAATCGGACTGTTTATATGCCATGCTATGTTGCTTAATATCAAATTTGCAAATGTGTAAGTCATTTAAATACTGTGGACCTGTGGCCTAGCAGTAAGGAAACAATTCATTCATTCATGCATGCATTTGATAAGGACACCTTATGAAACTAATGTTTAAACGTTGTGTTTAGGCGTTATTCTCCCTCGCGGCATGCATGTCCTCGGCTTGACAAACGACGTTAAGGTTCCACTGGGACATACTCGGATATGTTTATGTTTGTTTGTTTCTTTGTTGTTTAACGCCGCACTCACCAATATTCCAGCTATATTATGGCGGTCTGTAAATAATCGAGTCTGGACCAGACAATGCAGTTATCTACATCATGAACATCGATCGGCGCAATTGTGACACGATGACATGCATCAACCAAGTCAGCGAGCCTGATCACCCGATCCCGTTAGTCGGCTCTTACGACAAGCATAGTCGCCTTTAGGGCACGTATGGGTTGCTGAAGACCTATTCTACCCCGGATCTTCACGGGTCGAACAACCGTTAAGGCTCCACTGGGAAAAAGTACTCGTATATTTTTATGCACTGAGAACATAGTCTTAAATATGACGCATCTATTGACTTCAACTACCTGGCCCTTCAGTTATCTCCAGTTATCACAGCTCGATATCATATAATGTCCCTGGTCTACATCTACGTATATATCACACAGTGTTATCTCATTCATATCACATCCATCACTCAGGGGGCACGGGTGGCCCAGTCGTCTAAGGCGCCGCGATTCGCTGTGCAGTGTTGCGTCCCTTGGGCACGCCAGAAACCTATGATTGTGGGTTCGAATCCCGGTTCGCCCCGATTATGTTTCTAGGTTTGTCAGCACCATACCCGTGCTCGTGGGTTTCACCGAAGTGGTAAACGTCTGAGACCTGCATCACTTCGGGCGTTCCTCCCACATTAAGCTGACACGCCGCGATATAACTGGAATACTGTTAAAAGCGGCGTTAAACCCAACTCACTAAATCACATCCTTCACTCCTGTACGAGAAGCCGAGAGGTGTCATATCGGAGTGAAAGATCTGATTTGAATGAGACTGGACCCTGCGCCGATCCTCTTTCAAAATAGTAATTCGAGATTCGCTGTAAGGGTAAAACGATGCACGGTATAGTAACACTTTACATATAGTGTCATCGGAAATATGAATAGTATGATGATAAACGTTTTACTTTCAGGAGGCAATGTGACGGTGACCATGACCCCACGTGCCATTACGCTTCAAGGAGGATCTAGCAGTAACGCCAATGTGTGCCTGTCGTAAGTACCGAGGGCAGCGAACGGATATATACTACTCAAAAGAATGACTTTGAGATAAACACTCGAAAGTTACATGATGCGAAAGTGAGTGAGTGAGTGAGTGAGTGAGTGAGTGAGTGAGTGATTATAGCGCCACCAGGAACAATGTTTTCTATATCACGGCTTGTCAGCTTGACGAAAGTCCAAATTTATGTTTGTCACTTTGTTGAAGACAACAAACACGACCATGATGCCATCTTTCCACTGGACTTGTATGGTCAGTTAACGTCTTTGCCTCGGGAAGATGCTATGGCAATGCACATTAGGTAGACAAAGAGTGAACGTATAAAACACTATAACACAATTGTTTGGTGACGTGTTTTAAAAAACGACTAGCAGACGCAAAAATGTTTCGCGAGTTATATGCATTCATCAGCATCATGTAAGTTAAATGACCCCTCCTTGGCCAACAGCTGCACTCTAAACCCAAGTGTTCTTCTGAAAACTACACAGAACACATGGGTGTAAGACTTTCAAAACGCGACCAAGTGTTCTGAACATATTCTGAACACTGGTGTTCTCGACGTATAACAATAGTTCTACAAACACATTTAGAACGTTTCCACGTGTTCTGACGATGTAACACGTTTAGAATGCCTGTAAGGTGTTCTAGACCGAGGTTCAGAACATTATAGCGACTCAAAAACTTGCTTCTACAGTACTGAAATGTCAACTCTTCGTGCGTGTCGAATACAATTGACCCGATGGTCTTTCAATGTGTAAGAATGCAAACCATAGCGACACACCCATGCATATTCTCTGGTATTAAATCACACCGACGCAGTTCTGAACTGTAACCATACACTATTTATCATCGTTATTCGCCATAATCATGCGGATATTCAAGTCACATAATAATGTGAATCAGAGTTCTTCATAAAACAATACAAACTATCGTGTAGCATTGTGAAGCAGGCGGTCCATGATTCGCCTGAAATGTTACCAATTATATCCATTTTTCTTCCTCGCCATCACGGTCAGTTACTTGAGATAATTCAAGTTTCAAGTCTTTAATGAAGCCTTTGTACTTCGCACGTGTTTCTCTTGGGTGTACGGTGGTTTGTAACATGGCCATGACCATAGCAGGCTTCGTGAAATACAAGAATTCTGAGTGAGTGAATGAGTTGTGTTTAACGCCGCTTTTAACAGTATTCCAGTCATATCACGGCGTGTCAGTTTAATGTGGGAGGAAAGCCCGAAGTGATGCAGGTCTCAGGCGTTTAGCACTTCGGTGAAGTGAGGCATCACAAACAAGCATGGCAGAAAAGTCTCCAGTTTTCTCCCAATCAGATCTCAATGCTCGCTACAGCTCAACCTCTACAGCAAAGCAAGAAAAATTAAAGATCTCTAACTGTGAGCACGTTACCACAGTGTGGCGATTAGAGGAGGAAAGCCCGAAGTGATTCAGGTGTCAGACGTTTACCACTTTGGTGAAACCCACGAGCACGGGTATGGTGCTGACAAACCTAGAAACATAATCGGGGCGAACCGGGATTCGAACCCAAAATCATAGGTTTCTGGCGTGCCCAAGGGACGTAACTCTTCATAGCGAATTGCGGCACCTTTGACGACTGGGCCACCCGTTCCCGCCAAGAATTCTGATAATCGTTTAGTAAAATCAGTATGACACACATGCTCGTATAAAAATCTCTATGTATAGGTTAGGCAATGGTATAGAGGAAAAAACAAAGGACTTTGTTACGATTGTGTGAGCGTTTGTTGCGTTTATAAACTGTACCACCATACTTAGACTATTCCACGCTATGAACGGACAATCGAGTAACTACAGCTACCTACCCACAGTTAATTCATCTGATCCCAATGTCTACATGCAGAGAGACATTTTTTTCATATCGAAAGCTATACTGAATGCCAAGGTAAATGAAAACGTATGTATGTAATATTGCTAATTGCTGAAATCAATTATATCATATCAATTTTATACGCCATACATTTATGATTTGTTTATGGAATCACCAACTGTCTGTTTCTCAAACGAGATTTAATTTTGTTTTATTGTAATTGTTTTACAGTTTATATTATTTCAATAGCTTACAACCCTTGGACGCGAAACGTTGAACTGAATTCTGATCATTCCGAGAGTAAAAATTCGTTCTGAAAATGAAATGCATATTTCAGAAAGCTATATCTTTTTAATCGATATCTGAATTTAAATACGTTTAATTGAATCCCGGTTTTGGGAATGGTTGTTACTAATTTGATGTACAACTAATGGGGCTTAATTTCAATACCAGTGCAAATTTAAATGCAACTTTATCTTAGTTGTATTATATTTAGTAGTAAAATGTAGAAAGAATCAGCCAAATTTAACATTTTCATATCCCAGTATCGTCGCATCATAGGTTTTCGGACATCATATCGCGATTACTCGTGCTATAACGGGGGTGTAGCATCACACATACATTAATAATACTAGGGTGATGGCTTGTTTTGAAGAGAAAGTTGTCTTTCATAAGTGAATGAGATGTTTCACAGTTGTTCGTGCGACTAGAGAGAAAACTATGACTGTTTCCTAAGCGACCGAAAACCCATCACGGGGATATATTTATGTTGCCCTTCTTGCATTATCAATGAAAGACATATTTGTTGCTAAAATGTAAATGCTGCATACTTTATTTGGCATTGTGAAGCCAGTCACTCAAAGTGTTTTTGTCAAAGTCCCTAAACCTGATAACTGCAGGGATAGAAAATTAGAAATGTATTTTGGTTCAAATGTACGGTGGCCCATACCCGCCACTGGTGAGATCATTTTTTCACTGTATGCCTCTATATTTTATCTGGCGGCCGCCAGATACTTCCACTGGTGATATAAAATATAGAGCTTTACAGGGGAAAATGATCTCACCAGTGGAAGTATCTGGCAGCCGCCAGATAAAATATAGAGGCATACAGTGAAAAATGATCTCACCAGTGGCGGGTATGGGCCACCGTACAAATGTGCCACGCGACACTCACAAAGATGTTTATGTTTGCGACAAGAATACTTCTGATCCATCTTCCACACCCGGAGAATGACATTTCACTACGAGCTTGATAATAATCAGTTGTAATCTAACTGGAAGTCGACCCTTTCCTTTTCACTGAGATTGATAACGCTATTGAACTCCAGTGTATATTTATTGTATGGATCAGACAGTGCATTGGGTGTGCCCGTGTGTTCATTAGAGATGTTTGTCCAGATTACATTGACGGAATATTTGTTTGTTGTTTAACGAGTCACTCAGGTTTAGTGAAGGGACATTTATCACTGGTTTCGTATAATATATACTACTAAAAAGACGTTAAAGAACACCCGTTTATTTGTGACTATTGTTAATCTGTGGTGGCTGCATTCGTGACCAACTCGCGTTATTCCGGGACAAGCAGGTTACGGAAAGGGGCGAGTGGTGACGAATGTGATGGCTGGTTGGCATTCGTGACCAACTCGTCCCATTCCGGGAAGAGCCGAGTGTAGCCTCCTTATTGTAGGTTTTGGAAATATGCGAGTGGTGACGAATGGGCTGGTGGGTATTGCAGCGTACAGCCTTCCAAAGAGGCTGTTCTTTAACTTGTTTCGAGTAGTACACATCATTACAAGGAATTTGAAAGTAACATTTTTAACTGTGCATATAAGATTTAACCGTTGGCACTCTAGTACAAGAAATTTCGAGCCTAGGACTGATTTGAAAATAAGTGTCCTATATGTAGTTCTATTAAATTCACGCCGTTCAGGTCTTGGGCAGTGACCCATTGTTAGAAGTGAATGTACCTCGATTCCGCCCCGTTATTTTGTCTCTTTGCATCTCATTAAAATTAGACTAACTAAACGATAACTATAAATCTGATTTTAATTAAATTAAAGTTTAGCTGTATCGAACGGTATCCTACTGTGTACGTTGACCAGCCCCTACTGTGTACGTTGACCAGCCCCTACTGTGTACGTTGACCAGTCCTTACTGTGTACGTTGACCAGTCCCTACTGTGTACGTTGACCAGCCCCTACAGTGTACGTTGACCAGTCCCTACTGTGTACGTTGACCAGTCCCTACTGTGTACGTTGACCAGTCCCTACTGTGTACGTTGACCACACCCTACTGTGCACGTTGATCAGCCCCTACTGTGTTCTGAATATAGAAAAAAAATCTAATTTGCAAAGAGAAAATATCAAAGATAGTCTTCGAAGTACAATTGTCATTTCAACAAAGGCACAATTTTCCCTTATGGTGAAAGACTTACTAACATAAATTGGGATTTAACGTGCGCTTTCCGACATATGCGTATTTCGCACACGGGCCCGCCAGGTCATTTGGTGATTGGTCGAAAAGGCTATGCCCGAGAAGGTGGGGCAACCTATGGAGGCTTTTATGGTTGCTTACTTAATTTGGAGAACAAATTTAGAATTTTGAAATATGCCATGTGAGTTTGTGTGTTTTTATGGTGAAAGGAGCCAAGAACAAATATTTATAACTGTAACAGTAACTGTTTCCATTGCGAGATGACCTGCAGGTCGGACGGTCACAGGTTGTCAAAGCTATGGCAAATTCCTGACATTTGAACAAAAGGATAACGGTTTGCATGTAACTGACTGCTTTCTATTGTTGTCACAGACAGCCCTTGTCAAAGACGGCCACCTTGCTGTTCACCTATGACACTGGTAAAGGGGTATTCTTCTCAGATGACAGACAGGTTGTCGCCCCCCTCCATAACCTAACGCTAAGGAGGGACACCCCACCGTGCAGACAAGTCCACATCTCCGGGGTCAACCCTGGCCACGTCTTTGTCGGCGTCAACTCAACGTCACCGGAGCTGCAAGAGTAAGAATTCTTGTATATAAACAAAAAAAGCTATTTAAAAAAATACAAATTTCCTTTTAAAGATAACTTTTAATATCTAATTTATTACATATTTTGAAACCTAGTTAACGCGAAGTCATTAACTCGAAATGTTTTAACTCTGAGATGATGTAATGTTTTCAAGGCGGAGCTCTTAATTATAATCTAATATCGGCACTACGCATGTGTCGAACTGCGGATCGCTCGGTGTATTGTTTAAGTCGATTAACTACATGTATATGCTTATGCCATGTCGACACTATGCCCTAAAACAGGTACTCCGTCTTGTGTCGAGCTGCGGATAACACGACACCTTTTCTAAGGTCCATGGGACATCGAGTTAACGAAGGGTCTTTGTTAATATCATCCTCGGTTATCCTGCGTATTGCACCTCCGTTCTACTATGATTAATATACTCGACCCATGCACCTCAATAGCTGCGTTTCGAAAATGACGTCATCACCTCCACCGCTCCTATCGCCAACTTAGCACATACTTTCTCTTGCTGGGGGGAGTGATTTCATTGGACAGCTCGAAACTAAGCGAATGAGACGAGGGTATATATAAAAATAAAACTATACACCTGATAATCGAAGATGTGTAAATATAGACCAGATTCAGTTAACCTGTGAGCGGAAAATAACTGTTTTTGTTGTAGACTATGGAATCCTAGAAGGGACATTGTCGCGTTGTCGCGTTGGCGCCCTTTGGTAAAATAAAAAAAGATTATTCAAAGCGCGACATTGCGACAATGCGACAAATGGACTAAATGTCGCGTAGTCGCAATGACGCATTGTTGCGCTTTGGTTAATTTGCTTGTTTTTTAAAGGATGACAATGTCCCTTATAGGATTCCATAGTAGACCGTAGATAATTATTGTCTTTGGTGGTCATACAATACCAGCACAAAACTGATAATCTTGAAAGTTTTAAAATGTACATCTATTCCTGTAAATTGCAATCAGCGTACCTCCTATCGGAAACGGAAAAAACTAATTGATGAACAAAAAATGTTAAACACGTTAGAACACACAATTTCAATTATTGATTCAATGATTCAATTGTTTGATTTGCGGGAGCAACCTGTAGGACAGGACATGCTTACCCTGTTCGCGAATTCCTGGTGTCATCACTGACTTTCAGTGTTTGTTTATTGATTGACGCCGCGCTCAACAATATTCCAGCAATTTGATGGCGGTCTGTAAATAATCAAGTCTGGACCAGATAATCCAGTGATTGACATCATGAGCATCTACGTATTTGAGATACGATTACATGCATTAGCCACGCCAGCGAGCCTGGCCACCCGTTAGTCGCCTCTTACGGCAAGCATAGTCTTCTTTTACGGCAAGCATAATCGTCTTTTACGGCAAGCATGGGTTGCTGAAGACCTATTCTACCCCGGATCTTCACGGGTCTGATTTTCAGTGATCTGTTCATGTTGTTTTTACCGATGTATGCCTGTTGCGGCCAATGGAATCTGTTTCCATAGATGCCCGGGACTGATTGGTCTCTGACGACGGCGTTTTGTGTTCGCAAAAATAATGGAATAACTTTTGAAAACATATAATGGATGTAACAAAACTAATAAGTAACTTTTAGTTAACAGTATTCCAGTTATATCGCGGCGTGTCAGCTTAATGTTGGAGGAAAGCCCGAAGTGATGCAGGTCTCAGACGTTTACCACTTCGGTGAAACCCACGAGCACGGGTATGGTGCTGACAAACCTAGAAACATAATCGGAGCGAACCGGGATTCGAACCCAGAATTTTAGGTTTCTGGCGTGCCCAAGGGACGCAATTCTGCACAGCGAATCGCGGCGCCTTAGACGACTGGGCCATCCGTGACCCCCCTTCCCCCAGTAACTTTTAGAGTGACTGAGTTGAAATAAACACAGAAAAACCTTTGAAGATACACAGATAAAAAGACGGTTCATTTGTAGCAGTTCATAATTTAAAAAATTTAATTGACAAAGTGACTTACGAAACTTAATCGAATGATTTGTGCATTTCCGTAGCCTGTCGTCACTCTACATCCGGGTTGATGTCATGAAAAGTTCCGTGTTGAATATTGCCTCGGTTGTCATTGGCTGGATTTACTTCGTTGCCTGGACAGTGGCGGGTTATCCCCAAGTCTACACCAATTGGAAGAGGAAGAGGTAACATCTGAAAGTGCAAGTACCCCATCAAAAAACACACTATAGGTCCTTCGTATAATGCATGGTCATTTTATATATTATTCATGTAGATACCTGACGCAAAAACAAATTGAAAGGAAATTATTTAGCTGAAACTAAAACTTTGAAATAGCTCCACATCATCCAGCTCAGACAATATTTCTCTTGTAAACATGCCACTTCCTTTGAGTATATATACCTTCCTCTCATGCCCTATGATCTATGTACAGGGATTTTAATACATCAAAAACCCGGAAAAATATTTTAAAAAACCTTCTCCTTTTGTTTCTATATACATTTATGTATGTGATCCACGTGATGCGATCACAGCCTGACACCGTTGTCCCATGCTCCCAATATATGCCTGGAAGGTTCCCAACGGAAGATTGTTCCACTCTTCAGTAAGAGCATTGCCAAGTTCCTGTAGAGTTGCCGGGAGGACAGGGCGGTCTGCAGCTCGTTTCACATGTGTTCGATAGGGTTGAGAAAGTCCCCAGTCAACTTTACGATTTCACGCGCCTCTTTGACTGCTTGAGACAGAAGGGTCACTGTGGTGGCTCTTACACAGTGTTTGGTGTAAATTGTGCTGAAATGCGATTCTGTTTTCATCATTTTTGAAAGTGTGTAGTGACCTAGTGGGTTTAATTTGGACCAAATCGAACAGGATTCACTGGCATGTTTGCGAGGCTGTTGAAAGAAAGCTGGTTTTGAGGGATGCAATTTCGAATAATATTTTATACTCAACAGGGCATGAGGATGTACCGGTGAAATAAATACGTGGTTTCGCCTACTCTTTAGAGGATATCTATTATTCTTAACTTATGAAATTGAGCAGGCTAGTGTTGAAAGCGTTCGCTCGCCATGCCGAAGCCTCACGTGGGTACAATGTGTTGAGCCCATTTCTGGTGTCCCCGCCGTGATGTTGCTGGAATATTGCTAAAAGCGGCGTAAAACCATACTCACTCAATCTTTATGAAATAACATTCAACTTTTAAATCCGCTACCAAATGCCTGAAAGTGATTGGACAATTACTGATTGGTCGCTATGGTTGAAATACGTTAAAGCATGGCTCACTTACTCATGCAAACATACAAAAAATGTTTTGTTAACTGTGTAAGATATTGTTCCGTGCTTAAAATATGTTCATAGATTTCGCAGGACGTTATTTTAACGTAGCAAAATGTTAAAAGTATGTGTTATTATTTTAACAGGAATCGAATGTCACAAATATCACATCTACATCGCAGTGGCATCTTTGTGGTTAATATTATGTTAAACTTTCAACGTCACTATTTGTCTGAAACAATGCCGAGGCGACGTCTATATTAGACTCACTCGTGCACGCGTGCAGTTGGGATACGATGAGGATCTGATGGCTAAAATGTGTGAGCTGACTCACCCACTCGCCCACTCACCCATTCGTCCACTCACTCACCCACTAACTCACTCACTCATTCGCCCACTCACCCACCCACTCACTCACTCACTCACTCACCAACCCACCCACTCACTCACTCACTCACTCACTCACTCACTCACTCACTCACTCACTCACTCACTCACTCACTCACTCACTCACCAACCCACCCACCCACTCACTCACTCACTCACCAACCCACTCACTCACCGAACCCGGGATGGAGTTAAGTACATTAATTCCTGCCTCACGGTGAAGACCCAGTTCGAGTACCGAGCCTTGACACACCTTCAAGCCACAAGTAACTGTGTTCTAGAGAGGTCATAGAGTTACATTGTCAATGTAGAGTGGTACAATCCTACTATAATCTCCAGTATCGTGGGCCTCAACTTCGACTTTCTCAGCTTCAACATCACAAGCTTCATCGCATACAGCCTCTACAACTGTGGGCTGTTCTGGATACCGACAATACAGGTAGCTAGCTACACATGCAACAGTACCCAATGATTACCGTAAGAGTCGAGTGAGTGAGTGAGTGAGTATGGCTTTAAGCTGCTTTTAGCAATATTCTAGCAATATCACGGCGGGGGACACCATAAATGGGCTTCACGTGTTATACCCATGTCAGGAATCGAACCAGGGTCTTCGGCGAACGCTTTAACCACAAGACTCATCGACCGCCCCTTAAGAGACGACACATGAAGTCAAGGTGGTTACAATGTGTGACCTGGGGTCTGTTCCACAAAGCTACTGTAGCGCTAAGGTTAAGGTAACTCCCATACTTTAACAAAGAATTACGACTGTAGTTGCGCTGCGATCGCTTTGTGGAACGGGGTTCTGGTTGTAAGGGTGTTTCCTGTAGACACCAATGTCAGAAATTGTCCCTAGCACTTGTCCTCTTTTATTTCCATACTTGGCTGACTGCATGTCAGAACAGAAAATAACTCAGGGTATAAGAAGTACATCCTAGGACGTACATCGCAGATACATTAGATGCATCAATTACGCTATTGGCGGTACACGGATGTCACAGGTACTAGTATATGATATATATTTACAATGTGTACACTTTAACAGACAGTGATGTAGCTGAATATTGCTGACTGGCGTAAAACAACATTCACTCATTCACTTCTTTGTTTCTCCCCAGGCCGATTACTTTACGATACACCCCCGGGGCATCAACCCGGTGAGGCTGAATGACGTCTTCTTCGCCCTGCACGCCCTAGCCTTGTCCTCGTTCATGATCATCCAGTGCTTCATATACGACGTAAGTACTGCTGAAACTTCATGATCCTCCAGTGCTTCATATATGACGTAAGTCCTGCTGAAACTTCGCGATCATCCACTGCTTCATATATGACGTAAGTCCTGCTGAAATTTCACGATCCTCCAGTGCTTCATATATGACGTAAGCCCTGCTCAAACTTCATGATCCTCCAGTGCTTCATTTATGACGTAAGTCCTGCTGAAACTTCACGATCCTCCAGTGCTTCATATATGACGTAAGTCCTGCTGAAACTTCATGATCATCCTGTGCTTCATATATGACGTAAGTCCTGCTGAAACTTCACGATCCTCCAGTGCTTCATATACGACGTAAGTACTGCTGAAACTTCATGATCCTCCAGTGCTTCATATATGACGTAAGTCCTGCTGAAACTTCATGATCCTCTAGTGCTTCATATATGACGTAAGTCCTGCTGAAACTTCACGATCCTCCAGTGCTTCATATATGACGTAAGTCCTGCTGAAACTTCATGATCTTCCAGTGCTTCATATATGACGTAAGTCCTGCTGAAACTTCACGATCCTCCAGTGCTTCATATATGACGTAGTCCTGCTGAAACTTCACGATCTTCCAGTGCTTCATATATGACGTAAGTCCTGCTGAAACTTCACGATCTTCCAGTGCTTCATGTATGACGTAAGTCCTGCTGAAACTTCATCATCATCCTGTGCTTCATATATGACGTACGTCCTGCCGAATTTTCACGATCATCCAGTAGTTCATTTATGACGTTAGTCCTGCTGAAACGTCACGATCATCCAGTGCTTCATATATGACGTAAGTCCTCCTGAAACTTCACGATCATCCAGTGCTTCATATATGACGTAGTCCTGCTGAAACTTCACGATCTTCCAGTGCTTCATGTATGACGTAAGTCCTGCTGAAACTTCATCATCATCCAGTGCTTCATGTATGACGTACGTCCTGCCGATTTTCACGATCATCCAGTTGTTCATTTATGACGTTAGTCCTGCTGAAACTTCATGATCATCCTGTGCTTCATGTATGACGTAAGTCCTGCTGAAACTTCATAATCATCCAGTAGTTAATGTATGACGTTAGTCCTGCTGAAACTTCACGATGCTCCAGTGGTTCATACATGACGTAGTCCTGCCAAGTGGTACTGGCTTAACTCATTATCCCCCAGTGCTTCATTTATGTTTGTATGTCCATGATCTTCCTCTAGGATTCATTTCGAATTTGCCTTCTTCTTCGGGGGAGACGTTAGCTCAACAAAATCAGTTGGGTCTGCTTCAAAACGATGTAAATTCGCAAAAGAGATGGTGAACCTGGACCGTTCCTGATCAGGAGACAGAAGCCTAGAAGCCCCACGTCCTGAACCTTTGTTATGCCCCGTCCATTCCTTAAACGTCATCAGCTGTCTCATCGTGCCTTTTGTATTGGCTATATGTGTAGTGCGTCATCGAGCATCAAAGTTCACATTTTCTTTAGTGGTGGCAGTTGAAGGTCTTCCTGGTCGTGGATCATTCACGAGGCTCTCTCTTCCTCTTGGGGGCGGTCGGGTAGCCTAGTGGTTAAAGCGTTCGCTCGTCACGCCGAAGACCCGGGTTCGATTCCCGACATGGGTACAATGTGTGAAGCCCATTTCTGGTGTCCCCCGCCGTGATATTGCTGGAATATTGCTAAAAGCGGCGTAAAACCATACTCATTCACGAGGCCCTCTCTTCCTCTTGAACTCCACTGACCACCTCGCCACAGTGGCAATGGAAGGTGCATCATTCCCTACAGTTGACATACTGTTCGCAGGGATAGCTGTTAGAGATACTTGATGACAACAGGCGCGTTGTGTCCATTGGTATCAACAGACAACACCTCGTCATTTTGATACCTGCGGAAATATGCCACCTGGTTGTGTATTTAGTCCAAGTGCATCCCGTGAGCATGGAACACATTGTTCTTAATACATACATACTCTTATGGGTGTAGTATACATGCTTCGTCTGTTAAGGGTAGGGTGTCCTTCGCAGTTAGACTACTGTAACTCACGTATACGCACTGTAACTTGTTCTTAAGTCTGTGAGTGGTGGCCTAGTCGTTTAAGGTGTATCAATTCCCTAAGGCTTGCCAGAACCCTAAGGACGTGAGTTCGAATTTAACATTCGACCTGGTTATGATTCTTGGTTCGTCTGTACCTAACCCGTACTGAAGAGTTTCATGACATGGAAACGTCCAGGGCCTGCATCACTTTCTCCCACATTAATATTTTGTTTGTTTGTTGTTTAACGCCGCACTCAGCAATATTCCAGCTATATGACGGCGGTCTGTTAATAATCGAGTCTGGACCAGACCATCCATCGATCCACGCAGTTAGGATACGATGACATGCATCAACCAAGTCAGCGAGCCTGACCACCCGATCCCCTTAGTCGCCTTTTACAGCAAGCATGGGTTGCTGAAGACCTGTTCTACCCCGCCCACGTTAATATGACACCCCGCGATATATACGTACAAATAGACTACGGTTCAAATCGGCGTAATCCCAACTGATCGTGAAGTGATACTGATTTTTCAATGGTTATAAGTACGTCCCTGATAAATGGAATGATTATCTGCCCTTTGATTCAGCGAGGCAGTCAGAAGATTTCGAGGGTGTGTCACATCATACAAGGCCTCATCTACCTGTTTCTGGTCATCACGCTGTTTGTGGCGGTGGGCCACAAGATCACCTGGCTGACCTACCTGTACTACTTCTCCTACATCAAGCTTGGCATCACTCTCATCAAATACTCGCCGCAGGTACCACAGACACTACCGATTCGTTGTTTTGTTTGTTTATTGTTTAACGCACTCAGCAATATTCCAGCTATATAACGGCGGTCTGTAAATAATCGAAACAGGACCAGACAATCCAGTTATTTACATCATGAACATCGATCTGCGCAATTGGGAAACGATGACATGCATCAACCAAGTCAGCGAGCCTGACTACCCGATCCCGTTAGTCGCCTCTTATGACAAGCATAGTCGCCTATGAAACACCACCGTTAAAAGATGGTACTAGTTGTTACCCTGCCTGGCACTCGGCATCAAGGTGATAAGACAAGGACTCGTCGGCTCGGGGTCAGTATAAAGTGTCTGAGTGGTGTATTCATGTTAAACTGCGGCATGGTATCTCAGTAGGCTGGTAATATAATCTAGAACCAAACGTTAAACGCCATTTCACCTCACATCACTAAAATAAATGTCATCCCCTCTAAGTTATATATCATATCTCCATTCTGTAATAATAATAAATCATACATCGACTACAGAGGATGTCATATCTCAGTTCTATTACGACAAATACCCTGGACACATTTGCTTTCATGACTTTGTATCCGAATAACACAACACTTAAAATAGCCGTCCAATCAAATTACAATCTTGTGCGAGAGAACTCATGCTGGCAGTTATTGATAGGCGAGAGTAAGTCGGCACCATCACTTCCGAAAGGAGCCGATGGGTCCAGGGTATTTATCATAATACAAGAGGTGATGAGGTGAGGTGAGGTGAGGTGAGGTGAAATGGGGTTTAACGTCGCGTCCAAGATTATTGCACTTATATAGCGACGTGCATGTACGTGTGTGTGTCTGTGGCTGCTTGTACTAGTCCGGACTGATGCCGATTTATAGTGCTAGCTCACTGAGATACCATGCCGCAGTTTAACATGAATACCCCACTCAGACACAATATACTGACTCCGAGCCGACCAGTCCTTGTTTTAGCCCCTTAATGCCGAGCACCAGGCAGGCTAACAACAAGTACCACCCTTTAACGTCTTTTGGTATGACGCGGCGGGGGATCGAACCCCGGACCTTCCGCTCTCCACGGAGGCGGTCTCATAATACAAGAGATAATACACCGGGTAAGTGATGATGGGGACCTGAGACATTGAGTCAAATCACACCTCGACCTTCTTCAGGCCTACATGATCTACAAGAACAAGACTACAGCCGGGTTCAGCATTGTGGCTGTGGCATGCGACTTCACTGGAGGGCTGTTCAGTGTACTGCAGATGTTTCTTCTCTCCATAAACAGTGGTACGTCTCATCCTCGGTTCACATGGGTGTATATATGGGGAGGGAGGGTGCGTGATTGGTGTTAAGTCATACATCAAGTTCATAATCAAATCGCAGTTTCATTCATCCATATAAGTTTCATTCATCCAGGTCCGGTTTAATTGACAATTATATACAGAAACACATTAAGAACGTAAATTCGAGTTTTTGTAAATGCACCTAAATAAAGTGGTTCTGTGTATTCACACGAGTTAATCAGACACAACAATGTCAATTTGTTACACTCATCAAACTTTGTCATGCGAGTAAATATTTCCTGTTGAAACTTTTTTTTTGTGTCCTTCGAGTTTAAGTTGCGTTTTCTGTTTGTCATTTTGGCCAATTAAATATTTTTGTTTCTTGTGACTTAATTCCCGACATGGGTACAATGTGTGAAGCCCATTTCTGGTGTCCCCCGCCGTGATATTGCTGGAATATTGCTAAAAGCGGCGTAAAACCATACTCACTCACTCTTGTGACTTAAATAAGTCCGTTCCTTATAAATATATATACAGCTTATAAAGAGAAAAATTATCAGAGACGGGGGCCATTTTGGTGGCGAGGGCGTCATGAGAAACAATTAATATATTTCAACCTCTTCGTCAGTTCGTCTGTATGCTGTTTATTCTGTTCTTATTGTATAAGTTGAATCTGTTCATGGTGACAGATGATTGGGGCTCCATCATCGGCGATCCCACGAAGTTTGGCCTTGGACTGTTCTCCATGATGTTCGACGTCGTGTTCCTCGTACAGAACTGCATGTACAAGAATAAGGTCGTCGTCCTGGACCAGACTCCCATTCTCGTAAATGACAGTGGGGAAGAGAGTTAACTTCACCTTACCCTCTAGAACTGGGGAGATACACCTTTTACAACATGACCAGAGTCGCGAAGCGAAGCTGTGATCAACTGATGGTCAAACAATAATATTGTTTGTTTGATTGTTGTTTAACGCCGAACAGGCGGCCTGTAAATAATCGAGACGGGACCAGACAATCCAATGATCAATATTGCGAGCAACGACCCACGCCTTCGGGGTTGGAAGACACGCAATCATCTTAGTCACGGAGTCTGACCACCCGATCTATTTGGTCACCTTAGTCATCGAGTCTGAGCACCCGATCTATTTGGTCGCCTTAGTCACTGAGTCTGACCACCCGATCTATTTGGTCGCCTTAGTCACTGAGTCTGACCACCCGATCTATTTTGTCACCTTAGTCATCGAGTCTGACCACCCGATCTATTTGGTCGCCTTAGTCACTGAGTCTGACCACCCGATCTATTTGGTCGCCTTAGTCACTGGGTCTGACCACCCGATCTATTTGGTCGCCTCTTACGACCAGCATATGTTGCTTGAAGCCTATGCTAGCTCGGATTCCCTACAGGATACATATTATTATTGAATATTGTTGTCCGCACTTTAATAGCTAACACACAGCTTCAGAGAGTGTGACCACTTGGCAACCCAGGATAGATTAGGTCATCAGCACGCTATTGCTTGGAAGAGGCGATTGAAACGGCGGGGGTGGACAGGTTTGATGACTTTTTTCATGGAGTGTGATTTTAGGCAGGGACATCGCTCATAATACCATTGGTTTGTCTGGTCCAGAATGACTTATTCACAGGCCACGTCTGTATCTGAAAATTTAATATTGCTGACCAAATATTGGTTACAAATGCTATCAGTCGGTTTGGTGATCATTTCTAGTCAAAGTCTTCACCCTGTAACTCAAGGGCGGATCCAGCATTTTCAAAAGGGAGGGGTCCAAAATATCAAAGTCTTCTTTCAGATAAGTTTACTGCCTACAACATACTACCCACCCCACCCATAGCCCTTAATAAGTTCACCTTGCAACTGTGAAACTAAAACATTGTCAAATTTACACAGTGTTTCGTATCTCAATTCTATTATATATTCAACACAACTGACATGGTTGAGAGATGGGCGTGTGGTTGGGTGTAGGGATGGGACGAGTCCAAATTTACTACCCGGGTACCCATCCCCCCTATTACCCGACCCTACCCGGGTATCTGCTGTATGTCTAAAGAGGTAGGTACAAACTGTCCAATTGGGAAAAGTTTGACCGTAGCTCTGGTAAAATGTGTTCAGATACATTTATGAAACGATCTGGTGTATACACAGAAGTTGACTAAAGTTTTATTTTTCTTCAAACATATGAAAGTCATAAGGAATGGTTGTAGTAGTCAGGAAGAACTCCGAACATGAGTGACTTGTAGTTTAAACATAGAGTTTTAGATACTTTTTGTCATTAATCAATATATCACGTGACTAGACCCGAGGACCCGAGTACCCCGTCCCAGCCCTAGTTGGGTGAGTGAGCTCCTTGAATGAGTGAGTGCCTAGATAATGATGGTTGGTTGATGAACGGGTGGTGTGTAGTTGAGTGAATGGGTGGCTGAATGAGTGAGTGGGTGGGTGGGTGGTTTGATGAGTTAGAAGTGTGCTTGAATGGCTTAGTGAATTGTGGGTGAGCGGCAGGGTGAATTGAGTGAGTGAATGTATAAGTGGATGGCAGAGTTGATAAGTGAATAAATAAATACTATATGTTAGGCCAGACTCTGTTTTCTGGGTTACAGTCACTGGTGAAAGATTTGGTCAGTTGGTCGGATTTTTTAAAAAAAATTTGGCCTGGCTTGGGTCCTCATAAATATTATACATATAAAATCTGAATTGTGATGAAGTTTTATCCTTGACATAAATTCTATTTTAGTGGTATAAAATCCCTAGACTTATTCATATTGTCAAAGCAATCTTTATGGTAGGGGTTAGTTTATTTATAGCAGCACTGTCACTACTGGAAGTAATAATACTTATTGCCAGAATTGCTTGTTTTCACTTTATAGGTATAAGCACACAAGAAGCTATCTGCTTAAATTAAAATCGCAATATTTCTTTTTTTCCAAGTGGTGAGGAAAATAGGGACAGGGCATGACATTAGGGTATATGGAATACAAAGCGAGAGATTCTCAACAGCTAATACTCATTATATCTCCATGACAAATTGCAAAGAGCAATGAAGAACAAAGAATGGTTTATTTCACGATAAAACATTTTCTAGTATGACCTCATTTCTGAAGATTCGGACATGCACTCGCAACTTGATGACATCATATATTGGACAACGTTATGTTTGAGAGGGAAATGTCAAGTAAGTTGTTCCCTATAGATGTAGCTGGACAGCCCAGGTAAATGCAGTGGCTGAATGACTGCATCCAAAAGTGGGAGAGATATGACAATCAACGTGAGGATTGTGGAAATACCAAACTTAATCCACCTGTTCGAAAAATGGTCTTGTCCGACATTTCCAAGGTCGGATTCTATTAAGGGCGTCATCATTATTAAAATTTGGGTAAATATTTGTAAAGCTTGCACATTTTATCAACAACCTTAAAAAGGCTATACATAATGTTGATATCTCATATAAGAAATAAACTACTCGTGGTCGTTGTTGATCATCAAATAAAACACTGCAGCCCTTATGGTTTATTCTCCCTGCAGTGTTTTATTGTATGATAAACAACTCACTCATCGTTTACTTCTTAAATAACAGTAACCAAACCATTCCACTTCTTCACAAACCAAACTCCCATTTTCAGTGGTATATTCTTTATTCAACAATGACGTCATATACAGATATGATACAATAAAATTATCTAAAACAAAACTGGCTCTCGTCATCTTTTCCCCTTCTTCTTATTCTTTTTGCCACCAGGACGTTCTCTCGGTTCTTCTGTAGAGTCTGTAACTCGGAGCGCATGACCTTGTTCCTTGATGTGAGTAAATAATTTGTTCCGCGTCCCAAACTGACCTCCACACACATTACACTTGAACACCTGAAACACATAGCCACACAAAATCACACCCAAGACGCATATGAATGTGTAGGGTTCCAAACATTTTTCAGCAATATTTCAAAAAATATATTGATTGGTTTAATAGAATGAGACTCAAAATGTCATTCTCGATTATCCTGTGTATTATATATTGAACAAAAAAAGATGGAGATATTTTCAAGAAATTGTGTGCTCACTACAAAAAAATATCCCCCAAAATATTCAGTGAGTGAGTGAGTATGGTTTTATGCTGTTTTTAGCAATATTCCAGCAATATCATGGTGGGGGACACAAGAAATGCGCTTCACCCATTGTACCCATGTCAGGAATTGAACCCGGGTCTTCGGCGTGTCGAGCAAACGCTTTAACCACTAGGCTACCCGACCTCCCCCAAAAATATTCAGGATCCCTAACATTTTGTTCAGTATATGTCCATTCTCTAATTACAACTATCCCTGGCCCATTCATCACCACAGCTTGTTTGGGAAGCAATGTCACCAACTCCTTCACTCTCATCACCAACTTAGCACAGAATTTATCTCACTTCTCGATGAGGTTCAGCAGTGATCTTTAGGAAAGTTGGTCCATTTTAGTTAAGTAGTTTAGTATTCATCTTGGTAGGTCTTGTATTGACCTGGCCAGGACTAGTACTTACCTGGGTGCCATTGTACAAAACAATCTTAGCGCTAAGGTGATCGTAACTCCCACAACCAATTGTACTGCTAAGGTTGTTTTGTACAATGGCACCCTGGTTAGGTCTTGTATTCACTTTGCTTGGTATAGTATTCACCTGGATAGGTCTTGTATTCCCTTTACTAGGTATTGTATTCACCTGGTTAGGTCTTGTATTCACTTTGCTAGGTATTGTATTCACCTGGTTAGGTATAGTATTCACTTTGCTAGGTATAGTATTCACCTGGTTAGGTCTTGTATTCACTTTGCTAGGTCTTGTATTCACCTGGTTAGGTATAGTATTCACTTTACTAGGTATTGTATTTAACTGGTCAGGTCTTGTATTCACTTTACTAGGTATTGTATTCACTTTACTAGGTATAGTATTCACCTGGTTATGTATTGTATTCACTTTGCTAGGTCTTGTATTCACCTGGTTAGGTATTGTATTCACTTTGCTAGGTATAGTATTCACCTGGTTAGGGTTAGTATTCACCTGGTTAGGTCTTGTATTCACTTTACTAGGTATTGTGTTCATCTGGTTAGGTCTTGTATTCACTTTACTAGGTATTGTATTTAACTGGTTAGGGGAAGTATTCACCTGGATAGGTCTTGTATTCACCTGGTTAGGTATTGTATTCACTTTGCTAGGTCTTGTATTCACTTTGCTAGGTATAGTATTCACCTGGTTAGATCTTGTATTCACTTAACTAGGTATTGTATTCACCTGGTTAGGTCTTGTATTCACTTTACTAGGTATTGTGTTCACCTGGTTAGGTCTTGTATTCACTTTACTAGGTATTGTATTCACCTGGTTAGGTCTTGTATTCACCTGGTCAGGGTTAGTATTCACGTGGTTAGGTTTTGTATTCACATCGTTGTGTTAAATATTCACCTCTTTAGGTTTACTATTGCTGGGTTTTCTGCTGTCTGGATGTAACTCTTCTGTAGGTGTGTTTTCAGTGACACTGTCATCTCCATGACAACTGTCCGTGAGACTAGTCTCGGCTGGCGTGACATCACTTGGCTCCTTCCCCCCGGGGGCGCCGCCCACATCTCCCTCCACTCTGCTGGCTGTACATTCCTATACAACAGAGAGCAGGACAGGCTATTTTCAGTAACAATATGTCAACTCCCTGAACACTAAAGAGCAAATGTTTGTTGTTTAACACGACACTCAGCAATATGTATGTGTCAGGTCAATGATGGCAGCCTGTAAATAATCAAGTCTGTCTGGGTATGATGACACACGATCAACCAAATCACCAAGCCTGACCATCGATAGTGGGGATCAATCTTAAAGCCGACTTCCCACAGTGGATCATAAATTGATCTTAGTGCTATGACTGTTACATAGCACTAGTTACAAGTCTATGTTAAAGTATAGAAGTTACGATCATCTTAGTGATACAACTGTTGGAAGTTGTAAGTCTTTGTTAAAGTATAGGAGTTAAGATCATCTTAGCAATATGACTGTTGCAAGTTGCAAGTCTTTGTTAAAGTATGGGAGTTACGATCTTCTTAGGGATACAACTGTTGCAAGTTGCAAGTCTATCTTAAAGTATGGGAGTTACGATCATCTTAGAACAACAACTGTTGCAAGTTGCAAGTCTATGTTAAAGTATGGGAGTTATGATCATCTCAGGGATACCACTGTTGCAAGTCTATGTTAAAGTATGGGAGTTATGATCATCTCAGGGATACCACAGTGCAAGTCTATGTTAAAGTATGGGAGTTATGATCATCTCAGGGATACCACAGTGCAAGTCTATGTTAAAGTATGAGAGCTATGATCATCTTAGCACTAAGATCGCTTTGTGGAACAAGAACCAGATAAACCGGTGGTCACCAGTTGAGCAAAGATCCAAGGCATTTGGTTGAAGTAACTCTTTACCACAAATAATCCCATCTGGGGCTGCCTAATTCCAACTTTGATGAATTATCACTTACGGTAATCTTTTTGGCCATGTATCTCATCAAATTACAACCAAAACTTGCCCCATCCTATTTCTTGAAGATTATTTCTATTGCACTTTAGTTACTTTTGTCACTTTGGACATTAAGATAATAAAACATATGGTCAAACCCTGATAATCAGGACGTTCTGTTCCCCATGAAATTATCTGGATTAATCAATGTCCAGATTAATCAATCATGGCCACTTAATAATATGCGTGAGTGAGTAAGTTGGGTTTTACGTCACTTTTAGCAATATTCCAGCAATATCACGGCGGGGGACACCAGAAATTGGCTTCACACATTGTACCCATGTGGGGAATCGAACCAGGCCTTCAGCAAATGCTTTAACCACTAGGCTACCCCGACTGCCCCTATGTGCCTTTAATTACATGCAGGTCTACATCATCCAGACAACTTTTATCAAGGCTTCCGGACTAACATGATGACACATGAAATGACATATTGTCATCCTCTTGGGGAAATCTAGGCAGGACAAACTAGTTATCTCTCCCACCAAGACAATGACAAAAGCCAAACTAAAGGATAAGTGTGTCGATGAACTCTTAAAAGCTTTGCCATTTGGGGGAAATGGGCGTTTGGGTGTGTGTTTGGATGGGCGTTTGGGTGTGTGTTTGGGTGTGTGTTTGGGTGTGTGTTCGGGTGGTGCATATCCTGTTGCAGGAATAAACATTGTATTAAACAAGCCTTGGTGTTTATTCCTAATACAGGAAAATACATCCCAAAACACAAAAAGCGTGATAACCTCATTTGCATATGATGCCGTAAAAGGTGACTATACTTGTCGTAAGAGGCGGTCAGACTTGCTGACTTGGTTGATGCATGTCATCGTATCCAAATTGTGTGGATCGATGTGCATGATTGTCACTGGATTGTCTGGTCCAGTTTCGATTATTTACAGACTGCTGTCATATAGCTGGAATATTGCTGTGTGCAGTGTTAAACAGCAAACAAACAAACATCATATGATGCCATTCCTAAATTCTTTTATCGTAAAAAGTATTTGAATCACTCATGAACACTACCTAATCACTTCAAGTTTTTTGGCCACCCCACTAACCTTATCGGGGGAAGGAGTAGACCTGTCAACCAAGTCAAAAATATCAACACCTCCTAATGATAATTTGAAATAAACAGAATATCTCAGATCATAAAGCTACTAAAGTAATGAACTTGCTTAATAAATCAATACGACATGCCCCCTCCCTCAATAGTGCTACCATCATGCCTCCCCAATGAAGTCACCCTCCCGCACACCCCCAAGTAGGAGGCCCAAGGACACCTCTGCCCAGCTCCATGGGGTCCTATTCTCACACAGGTAGGGTTACCTCTGTCGTGTAGGACGCCCATCACCTGTCACCCGGGCAGGGAGACAATAGGGGCTTACAGGCTCTGTCAGTGTGGACATGGGGCCTCCAGACCTGAGACTATTCCCCTACAACCACCTACCTCCGGTGTGTCACCACTAGGCTTCTCCTTGGTCTTGTGTTTCTGGGATGCAGTGGAGCTACACACAGAGAAATATGTCAACAATGTTGTTCACTACATGCATATCAAACTGGGTGGTATGTTTAGGCAAGCAAGCTGTGTTTCCCGTTTTGATTTTATACTCATGAGGTTAGAGAAAAATGAGTTCATGACATTTGTATTTGCCCTAGTGCAAATATCACTTGACGCGTACCAGTGTATTGTTTACATCATCCGGACGTCATTGTTGACATCATTCAAATCTTATTGTGACGTAATGTCAGTATGACGTCACACTAGAAATGACATCATAACCAAAGATTGTTGACGTCATTTAACAATTATTTTTTTTTAAGACAGCAGTCGTGATCAATGCGTTTTTCTAAAGCGGAGCTCAAAATGATTAAGAAATAAAGAGTAGTAAAGAAATTATTACTCTTGCATGTGTGTCACACTGATTTTACGAAACACGCATAAGAATTCATGTACATGTATGACCCTCACTCAAGAAATACAACAATTCTGACATTGTTTTGTAAAATCAGTATGACACACATGCTCACATAATCATCCCTATGTAGTCGCCCTGTACCTGTCTGGGGTATCCTCGGTGCTGATATCCACATCTCCAAGTCTGCCCTCTAACTTCCCCATGTCTTCCTCCTCTTCCTGGAGTTCAACACAAAGGAGATCAATTTTAAAGAGCTATGTAACGTCCAAACACTAATCAGATCACAATAAAATCTTGGTCCCCAGTTTGACCAGCTTTAACAACAAGGTAATCAGACATTACTGCTCTGGTGTATCCCCTAAGGTAACATCACCAGTCTCTTTCGGACCTTCAACGAGGCATCACTTAGGTGCCAAAATCAGCAACGTCACTTCCAGGTATCCATTATACAAGTGTTCAGTCAGGAGATAAACACTGATACCTATAAATTTCATTCAAAACCAAAAGAGTTAGCATGAGGTTTCAAAACCAAAAGTGTTAGTACGAGGTTTCAAATTTGAAAAATGTACAGACTTTTGGAATTGAAGGGTTTGTAAAAGGAATACTTCAAATAAATATTTTCTTTCGCGGCAAAGCTGTGTTAAACAAAATCATGGTCTAACATAGATTCAGTATCACACACAGACCTATCAGAATGCAGCATCCTAAAATGTCTTTGTAGCAAAAGAATTACAGCAACAGAATAAAACCATGTCATTAATATCCTGTGGCTCCGAGTTAATTACAGGAATAACATATCAACACATTATTCTGTATTCAGTTTTTTAGCGTACCTCCTGCTGCTGTTTTTGTTGCTTCCTCTTCTTCTTCTGTTTCTTTGACAGTCTGAAAAGCACAAAGGGTATTGTAACTGTTGTGTCTACAAACTTCCTGGTTTTCCCCTATAGCATGAGTGAGTGAATTGGGTTCAACGCTGCATGGGTTGAACAGTATTACAGTTATATCACAGCATATGAGCTTAATGCGGGAGGAAAGCCCAAAGTGATGCAAGGTCTCTGATGGTTACCTCTTTTGTGAAAATCACGAGCACAGGTATGATGGTGACAAACCTAGAAACATAATCGGGGCGAAACCGGGATTCAAACCCAGGATCATAGGCTCAACAAGGGGCGCAACTCTGCAAAGTGAATTGAGGCACCTTACACTGGGCCACTCATGCCCCCACCCCCCACCCACCCCTATAGCATGAAATGAGTTTGTTTGTTTGTTGTTTAAGGCAGCTCTCAGCAATATTCCAGCTTTATGACGGTGGTCTGTAAATAAGACAATCCAGTGATTTACATCATGAGCATCGATCCACGCAATTGGAATCGATGACATGCATCAACTAAGTCAGCGAGCCTGACCACCCAATCCCGTTAGTTGCCTCTTACAATAATCATAGACAGCAAACATGGGTTGCTGAAGACCTATTCTAACCCAGATTTTCACATGAGACGAAACGAGATCTGAGGTTTATCATCACTTTCTATGTATTATTGAGTGAGTGAGTGAGGGAGTGAGGGAGGGCGTTATTCAACACTGCCGGCAATAACATTCAAGCAATAAAGCAACTTGAACATGGAGTGGTCACCAAGTCCTTTCATGGCTTGTACTTTGAATATAATATATTCACACAAAATTAATTATATTAACAGGGACAACACATTCAAATATTTTCATTAATGATAGATCAATACTTCTTAGACTTTTTTCAAGAGATCCCCAGAAGGAGATTATTCTCTCACAGAAACGTAAAGGTATGCAAGTAAATTTGTTCAAACTTGCATGAGAAATGTTCAACAGACTGGCAGAATTTTGCTTTTTTTTTAAACTTTGTAAAACCGTATCTCTCAAAGCATGATCTCGGGCAGCAAAACTAGAAGTCATGTCCATTGTCTGGGTTAACAAGTGATTGACAGGTCTGTTTGTCTAACACCAGGCTACACGTCTGCCCTACACGTCTGCTGTACACGTCTGCTGTACACGTCTACCCTCAAAAGTTTGATATCCAACTAGGGACTGAATGACAGGCGGCCATTTTCAACCTTCTCTCAAAGTTAGTCATGTCTGCTCTTTGTGATAATGTCACCTTCATATGATTCATGGGAACGTTATATTGGAGGATTACAGGAAATTGAATCAGTAAACAACCATGGCTGAAACTTCATTCAACTTTTTATTTTCCAGTAAATTAAGTCTTTAAAGGGTTATCCTGTGAAATCATAAAATATGTGAGGAGTGAGTGAGTGAGTGAGTATGGTTTTACGCCACTTTTTTTTAGCAATATTCCAGCAATATCACGGCGAGGGACACCAGAAATGGGCTTCACACATTGTACCCATGATATGAATCGAACCCGGGTCTTCGGCGTGACGAGCTAACGCTTTAACCACGACCGCCCCAAATATGTGAGGAAAACAGACTATAGTGAAGTTGAGTATTTGCTTGTTTGTTTGTTCAACACTGCACTGAGCAATATTCCACCTATGTGACGTCGGCCTGTATCAATCCATGCTGTCAGAGTACGACACACTATCAACCAAGTTACCGAGTCTGACCACCCAAATCCATAAGTCTCCTATTATGACCTGCATGGGTTGCTCGGGACCCATTCTAACCCGGAATCCCCATGGTGTCTTTTGAGTAAGGTTTCAAGATATATCAGGATATTTTGATGCCAAATTTGTGAATGATGAATGAAAGAAACATTTTCTTTGTTCATTAATGAAATGAATTAAACACCAAATGAATAATAGTTAAACATAATAATTTATCAGAAACTAACGACAATACATAGTTGAGGCTCTTTTTCTTATAACTTCAAAAACATAATATGTAAATGAAGGGAAATCCAAATATTATTTAAAAAATAAAGTATCAATATCAACAAAATTTGCTTATTCAAGACATATCTGACTACAAAAGAGAAAATATGGCATTAAGCAATAAGTTTTAAAAGTTAAATGTTTGGAGCTAAAAAATAACGGAATTATTATATATACTAAATCCATGTTACAAAATACAATAATCATAAAAGGAATCGTTCAGTAACAGGAACGAAGTATTATTTTCAAAAAAGGCAAACCTAAACAATGTTGACATTGACAGACAACAGGGTGTCGGGTTCCCTGATGATGAGGCCACTCCCGCCAATGGCTGACTAATGGCTGTCATCCTGCCTGTCTGACTATTTAGCAGAAGGCCCCGATACTGCAGCAGCATAAATATTCCTTGAGTCAGCAGACGGTCAGACGACAAGATGGCTGGTGTTCTGAGAAGGGAATTACTGTGTGCATGTGTCTTCATAGTGTTGGACATCTTTTCTTGTGCACCTATTACAGTGACTGATGATTTTAACGAAACTTCTACGTCTGTGATAGAAACTGCTGAAAAGAACAATATTTCATCTTCTGCGATCTCGACAACTTTATCACCTGTTGAGACTAAACTCAATGATGCATTGGGTCAGATTCAAATATCCAACCATCAGATTGACAGTATTCAGGAAAAGCTGTCTGCAATGTCTGATAGTGTGTTGCGTCACTGGGCTATATTCAGACGTGTGTATACTGAAATTGGTGCAATGCTAAATCTTGGGACACCAGAGCCGAGAAAGACAGAAACAGTGACCTCTGTCACCGATACACGGAGCAGTGACCCTGGGTCAAAGGATTGGACTCTGCACACCCCCTCTGAGGACGAAACAGAGGATAAGACAGTGGGCAATTCTACCGAGACTGTGAGTCAGGAAGAGTTCAATAAGCCACAATCAGATCAAGGATTTAATAGAAATCATGCCCGAGATTCAGGAATGGGGATTCCGGGAGGAGCCGGACAGATTGGTGAGATGTCGAGACAGTCTGGTAATTCAAATACCCGCAGACTGGGAGAGTGGCACATGTTGCCCGAAGACCCTGGTGAGTTACCCCACAGAATGTTCGAACCTCTTACAGTGGAAGAATTTGAAGTTAACTCAGTTGAGAATAACAGCACTGAAGTTTTGAGTAATGGCAATGTTGTGGTTAATGTTGGTCCCGCGGAATCAGGTGAAAATGATGACAACGTGACATCCATGGAAGGTGCTGACATTTCACACGAACTGTATGACTATTATGTATATAACACTGGATACAATGGTGGGCCAGGTCTTGGAGGGAGTCATGGTAACGTTGGCTGGAATGGTCAAAACTATGGAACTGGGCCTGGCTGGAATGGTGGACCTGGAGGAGTTGGAAATAATGGCCAAACTGGAAATAACGGAGGAAATATTCCACAAGCTGGCTCAGGGTATGGTGGAAACGAAGGAGTTGGAAATAATGGCCAAGGTAGAATTAATGGAGGTAATATCATGCATACTGGCCCAGGCTTTGGAGGAAATAGCAGACAGATCGGTGGGAATACGCGCCATAACGGCCAAGGATATGGAAGCTGGGGCAATTCTGGAGGAAACACTGGATATGGTGGCAATATGGGAAATATTGGCTTTAGAAATGGTGGTGTAGGGCATTCCGGTTCAAGTATGGCAAACAGCGGTACCACAGGTGGCAATTTTGGAAATACAGGTGGCAATGCTGGATACACTGGTGGCAATGCTGGAAGCAGTGGTGGCAATCATGATAATACTGGTGCAAGTGCAGGAAACAGAGGTGGCAATGCTGGACACAATGGTGGCAATGCAGGAAACAGAAGGGGCAGTGAAGGAAACAATGGTGGCATTGCTGGAAGCAATGGTGGCAATCTTGGAAATACTGGTGGCAGTGAAATAAACAGTGGTGGCAAAGCTGGACACAATGGTGGCAATGCAGGAAACAGAGGGAGCAGTGCAGGAAACAGAGGTGGCAATGCTGGAAACACTCGTGGCAATGATGAACACAATGGTGGCAATGCAGGAAACAGAGGTGGGAATACACAAAATACTAGTAATGGGCAACTTGGTAGAAATAGTGGAAACCCTGGACTTGGTGGCAACCCCAGCATCGGATCAGGGCACGGTGGCACGGTTGGAACAGGTGTTGGTGGGCACCCCCATAACCTGGGAGTGAATGAAGGACACGCTGGTGGTACCAGAGAACAAAATGGTGCAAGTGGTGGCATATACAATCACAATGGCCAAGGGATTTACAACCCCGAAGGAATGTTTAATCCAGGTCAAGGTGGCAGAGGTCAAGGTTATTATGGCCCCAGAGGTTACTATGGCAACAGTGAGTACAACCAATGGGAAAATGAGAATGAATATGAGGCTGAATTTGAACCTGAACATGAAGAAGAAAGAGACTTCCCAGGAGGCTACTCTAATCCCCAGTTGTTCAATATGGGAAGAAGACCTATGGCCAATGCTGGCTATTTTGGACCAAGGAATCCTAATTTTGCTGGGAATGGATATGGTTATGCTTGGGGTCCTGGTGGAGTTGGGTGGATGGGTTGGATGAACCCATATGGTAGAGGTGGTCAGTTCCCAGGCATGAATAGTGGAGTTCCTGGTACAGGCTGGAATAGCGGCAGAGGACTGTCTGGACAGGGGTTCGGCCCAGGATATCCTGAAGGTCAGAGGACAGGCCCTGGAGGTCAAGGAACAGGCATCGGAGGTGGTCCTCTGAACAATGGGGAAAATACCTCAAATAATACTGGCATGAAGGGTGAAGCTACAAATGAGACTCTTACTGCACAGGAGAATGGGGGCAATGAAACAGTTGATGGTTTACTGGGGGAAGCCAATGAGACTATTGTGGATTGGTTTGAAGAGAGAAATGTGACTGACCAGGAAGGACTGAATGGCAGAAATGAGACAATCGATGACATGTTTGGTACAGCCAATGAAACTGCTGAGGACATCTTGGCTGAGA